GAGCAATGAATTTGAAGAGCTCTAACAAATTAAAAGCGCTACCTAGACTGTAGTAGAATAATGCAGGTTTCTGTTTTCACATATTTGAAGATTGTCAAGAGGTTTTTTGTTTTTTAATTTATTTTTTAGTTTGTAGTTGGATACACTGTCTTATTTATTATGTGGTGCTGAGAATCGAACCCAGTGTCTCACACATGGTAGGCAAGCACTCCAACACTGAGTCACAACCCCAGCCCCATGTCTCAAGAATTTTAACTCTCATCACCTAATTTGGAATAGTTGCATTTACTTCCTTAGAATTACTAACACTTAATCCACACTTTCAGTAGAGTAGAAATAGGTATGTGTCTTTTTTATTTAGCTTTACCTTGTTATATTTAAAGCTATTGTATATTAATATTTTACTTTAATTTGGATCTTCTATAGGAGATCCTGATAGAATGATAAAGTAGGATTCCTTTTCTTACTAACTTTTATACATTTTGAAAAGGGACTGCACAGGAATTAGTTTAAATGTTCATTTGGTTCTAAATGAGAATGTGCCCTTGAAAGGGGGAAATATAGTACTTGCTTTTTGTTTTAGCAAGTTACTAGTCACATCCTCTTTCTCCTACTGAAATAACCTTCTCTAATCAGATACCAGCTAGTAAGTACCTGCTTCCTATTTCCTTTTTTAAAATATTTATTTATTTATTTAGTTGTAGTTGGATAGAATACCTTTACTTTATTTATTTATTTTTATGTGATGCTGAGGATTGAACCCAGGGCTTTGCACGTTCGAACGCTCTACTGCTGAACCATAACCCCAGCCCTCCCTATTTTCTTATCAGTCTTTTTTTTTTTTAAATGACACACCTAGTTGGGAGAGACTTAATTACTTGTAGAGCCTCTTAGAACTGATTATTCTTGAAAGAAAAAAATTTATTTTCTGATCAACATTTCCAAATGTTTTTAATTGCTTTTTGGTATTTTTATTAGTACATATCTTTTTAGTTGCTGGAGTAAATGCAGCACTAATCCATTTTTAAAAGTATGTAGTACTTGCAGACAGTTACACAACACTGCTCAAATTTCTTGCTTTGTAATGAGATCTCTTCAATTATTTACTTCTCTGTGTTCTCTGAGAAGTCTCCCTTTGCCTGTCTTTGGTATTATTTATATTTGCCCTTTTAAGTAAGAACCTGCATTTTGTTTTTGTTTTTGTTCTCCTAATTTTTTCAAAACAGCTTGAAAATAAGTTAAAACGTATATAAGAGTCATGTATTTAATTATTTGCCCTTGGGGGGAAAAAAAAAGACTTGTGTAGTTTGGCATTAAAGAGAAAACATAAAGAATAAATGAAGGTATTGTGTCTGACTATAACTAAAAAATAAAAATTAAAAAAAAGAATAAATGGTATGGTTTAACCACAAGCTGATGATTATCTTTATTCACTAGCCTCGATTGAATGATTGAAGGATAAATCCTTTTCTTTACCTTTGACACCCTCCATCCCATCTCTTCCTGTCAAGAAAAAGAATAAGAATGAAGACTCAGTATCCTTTATGGTTTTTTTTTTCCTCTTTTAATCAGCAGCTTGTCTTTATTGTAATCTAGTTTTTTCCTCAAATACTTCTTCAAATTTAAACTACTGTCACCCTCAGACTTAAATTTTAACCAACCCCACCAAAAAAAGCATAAGAAAAGGTACATTCTGTGCAGTTGTCAGTGCTCTTATTAGTTTATGCATTGATTTGATGACAGTTTGCTATTGTTAATCTTTGAGGAATTTGTTCTTAATGTTTTTTTTTTTTTTTTTTTGGTGATGCTGGGGATTGATTTTGTGGTACAGGGCCTTGTGCAGCGAGGCAAGCACTCTACCACCTGAGCTATATCCCCAGCCCTCTTACTTAATTTGAAAAAAATGTAGGAATTCAATTAATTCTTTCCTTTTTCTTTAACTTTTCTTATGGAAATTTTCTAAACTATTGAAAATGGAAAAGTATCTTAACTCCCAGATAGCCATCAACAACTATCAGCTTGCCATAGTCTTTCTTCCACCTGTTCCCTCCTCCATTATTTTCAAACAAATCCCAGATATTACATCATTTTGTGCCTAACTAATTCAGGATGTGTGTCTAAAAGATTAGGTCTTAAACTCATAACAACAACAACAAAACATTAAAAATTGGCAGTAATTCTTTATTATCATCCATTATTCAAACAATATTAAAATTTTTTGACTCAAAATTTTTTATTACTGTTTGAATTAGGTTCCAAATGATATTCATACATTACAGTTTGTTGATATGTTCTCAAATCATTTTGCAGATATACTTTTACTTCATATCTTTTTTTTAAATATTTATTTTTTAGGTGTAGATGGACACAACACAATGCCTTTATTTTTATGTGGTGTTGAGGATTGAACCCAGGTCCCGCCTGGGCTAGGCGAGTGCACTACTGCTGAGCCACAATCCTAGCCCTTCATATCTTTTATAATTTAAAAATCTTCAAATATTACAGAGATAATATAGTGACTACCCATAATCATCTGGATTTATCAATTGTTGCCACATTTGGTTTCTCTCTTAATGCATGTATATATTTCCCCTACTTTAAGTTTTTGGAAAGTAATTTGAAAATATTATGTCACTTTGGTACTAGATACTTGAGCATTTTCTCTCCTTAAAACAACTAAACAGCCATTGCTGAGGCTGGCTTTGAATTCCTGATCCTCCTGTCTCAAGCCTCCAGAGCCACTGGGATTACAGGCTTGTGCCACTGTGCCCGGCCTCAAAAGAAGAAATTTAATGACCAACAAATATATGAAAAAATATTCAGGGCCAGGGTTGTGGCTCAGGCTTGCCTAGCATGTGTGAGGCACTGAGTTTAAGCCTCAGTATCATATTAAATAAATAAATTAATTAAATAAGGTTTTTTTTTTTTTATTATTGGTTAAATAAGGTTTAAAAAAAAAAAGAAAAAAGGGGCTAGGGCTGTGGCTCAGTGGCAGAGTATTTGCCTAGCACGGGTGAGCACTGGGTTTGATCCTTAGCACCACATAAAAATAAACAAATAAAATAAAGGTATTCTGTTCATCTACAACTACAAAAAAAATTGAAAAAAAAAAAGTTCAACATCTTTAGCATTTAGGGAAGTGCAATTCAAAACTGTACTGAGGGGCTGGGGTTGTGGCTCAGTGGTAGAGTGCTTGCCTTGCATGTTTGAGGCACTGGGTTCGATCCTCAGCACCACATTAAAAAAAAATAAACAAAAAAAACTGTACTGAGATTTCATGTCATTCTGCTGGCGAGGATGTGAGGGAAAGGAATACTTATACATTGTTGGTGAGATTGTAAGTTAGTATAACCACTGTGGAAATCACTCTGAAGATTCCTCAAGGACTAGGAATGGAAATGCCATATGACCCAACTATATCACTTCTTGATATTTTTCTACAAGAAAGCATCCTAAGTGATACATGCATGCCCATGTAGAGCAGCACAGTTCACAATAGCCAAGTTATAGAACCAGCCTCAGTGTCCATCAACAGATGAATGGATAAAGAAAATGTGGTATATGTACACAATGGTGTTTTATTCAGCCATAAAGAATGAAATCATGTCATTTGGAACAAAATGGATGGAACTGGAGAGCATCATTTTGAGTGGAATAAGCCAGACTCAGAACGATGCTCTCCAATTTTAATAAGGACCTCCTGAAAATAAAAGGGAGACCAGTAGAGCTGAGGAAGGAGATTGGAGGAAGGAAGGAAGGAGGAAGGATAAGGAGAGGTACTGGGAAAATCCAAAATCTACTAAAAAAATCACATATTACATTGACGGAATTGTTTTATATCTGGGGTATCAAGTAGAATTGACCCTAGCCATAGGTTGATACTAAACATTTGAAATATGGCTCATGGGTGAGAAATTGGTATATAAATTTTATTTAACTTAAATGGTAGTGTCTACCCTATTGGGCAGTACAGATATAGAACATTATTCTCATCTAATCTGAATTTATTTGTTTCCTCATGGCTAAATTCATTTTACCCATTTTTGGCAAAATTACTTGAGTTTCTGTAGAGGCATACATTGTATACTTCCTAGTACATCTTATTAGGAGGTTTATCATATCAAATTTGTTCCATTTTTTAAATTTCTTTACATTTTGAAGGTATTTATTTGGAAGGAGCATTGGGACAACAAAGATAAATAAGACATTCTGTGTTCTTAAGAAGTTTATAATCTAGTCAAAGTAAGACCAAATAAAATGTATTAAATACAGATACCACTGTGGAGAAGTTTAATTACATTTATTCATGCAGTTTTTTATTTTTCAACCATCTACTATATGCTATGTACTAGAGATACAGCAGTGAATGCCTGCTCAGTCAATCTGCCTCACAGATACAGTTTTAGTTCTTATAAATTTAATGTTTAATGAAGGAAGCAAACACTAAACAGTTAGTCTTGGTAAGTGTCATGAAAGTAAAATAGAGTGCATATAAAATCTTAAGTTGCCTCTTTGGAATGATTATTTAATTACAATTTAACTTTAGTTTAGGAGGTCGCTAGTATTCCTACTTCTCTTCCAAGAGTCTTTTTTTTAAGCATGTTTATGAAGTTTTGCTCTTCTCTACACAGCCTAGGAAGATACCTGATATGTCTGGTAATATAGATTTGTTTATTTATTTACACAATGTCAATGTTTATAGGCTTCTTTTGGTAAAGGTAGATCAAAAGTACTCTTATGATTTAATCCAAACCTATGCCTAAAAATTGTGTAATGCTTTTTAAACCAAGTTATGTTTGATTGACTGGTGAACCTTCCCCTCTGAAATGGAAAAGCCTTTGTTTCTCTTATTACAGTAATGGGTTGATTCTAATCAGTGGCTGTTTGAAAATAAAACTTTGAATTTATATGTTCTCTGTTCTATATTTTATCTGTATCTTTTATACCAACTCTTTATGGTTTATTTATAATAAGTATTCTTGGTTTTTCTCTTCATTCAGAGATATACCGTATTGTTTCTCAGAAGCAAATGTCAGACAGACGTGAAAATGACATGTCTCCAAGCAACAATGTGGTTCCTATTCATGTTCCACCAACCACTGAAAACAAGCCAAAGGTGCAGTGCTGTCAGAACATCTAAGGCGTTTTTCTTCTCCCCTAGAAGGCTGTGTATAGTCCATTTCCCAGGTCTGAGATTTAAATATATTTGTAAATCTTGTGGTCACTTCTGTGTTTCATTGCTTCCTCATACTTATGAATTTTTCCATGTCCTAAATCTTTTGATTTTAGCTTTATAAAATCATCCACTTTGCCCCGAATGACTGCAGCTTTTTTTTTTTTTCCATGCTATGGCTTCACTAGCCTTAGTTTAATAAACTGAATGTTTGAATTCCTCAATTATTGTTTACTTTTCATCATGGAAGCCTGTCACTGTAGGACACAGTAGAACCTGATCACTTGATGCTTGGACCTATTGGTCTTGATCAAATCAAACTAAGAAGACCCTAGAAATAAGCTATTATGCCACAGAGCAGGTTTTAAGTAATACACTCTTCTCTCAATGCAGTGTGTATTTTGACAAATCTAAGAATTGCCCTGTAAACATAGCAAGATTTTGAGAGTTTGAAAGTTTTCCATTATTCTGTAAGTCAATTCTAAAATGCCTTAATAGGTTTATGTAGTTTAGTAAACTTTATTTTAAAATTTTTTGTAAGCATCAAAATTGATAGGAGTGGGGGGCACTTTTTTCTGGACCAGAATTATCTTAATAAATACAAAAGACTGTTATGGTTTGGGTAGGGGTACAGTTATGTAGCTATAAGTTAAATAGTGCTGCCTGGCAGGCTGGAAACTAGAAAGACTGAGGTGCCTCTGTTTCAGTGATCAGCCCAAACCATTTAACTGATCTCATTTCCCAGCAGTAGATTATGTGGCATTTTATTGCTTAGGCAATAACAGGTTTAATGCTGGACGTGTCAAATTTTGAAGTGTTAATTTTGTTTTAAAACCTTCCAGTGAGCGAAATGCAACCTAGTTTTATCACCATATCCACCAACAGGCATGGGTAATTATTTTAACAATGCTTATCTTTGAATTTTACAGTGTATAATGGAATACAGTCCAGTTAAATCTTTGGTTTTAGTGTCTAAAGAATACAGAGGGAGGTAATTTATGCTCAAGTGGTGTCATTTAAAGGCATGTATTCTTTTAGTACGTAAAATGAAATAGTACCTTGAGTTCAAATAGAATGCATTTAGGCATTGTAGAGACCTAAAATAATTTTTTTCCACTACATTATTTGAATCAATGGAGCAACTAAATAGTTTCTCATTCAGAAATGTGCACACTAATATTTAGTTTTACTTCCTTGTGGATAATATTAAGCACTTACTCTGCAGTTTTCTGAAACTTGTCAACTGCAGTGATACTATTCAGGATGATGGGATATCTGAAAAAATATATATGTGGGGGCTTGCATAGATTGCTATGTTTCATAGTTAATTTTCTGTCTTTTGCGGTGCTCATGATGTGTGGAGCACACGGAAGGCATTGCTGTAGTCAGTCATTTTTGGTTCTCTTCTGTAGCCATTTTATTATTTTAGTGTATTGGTTATAAAGATACTACTGTCTGTCTGTAAATTGCTACTTTGTATTTTATGCATGCTCTGTAACTTGATTTTTCTTTTTTTTTAGTTATTGATTTGGAATATATTCTCATTCTAATAAACAGTTATAGGGGGACTGTTCCTTATGTTGTCAGATTACATTTTTCATTTGAGTGCTTTGGATTCAGCATGGAATACTTGATTTTCAATAAGTAAGAACATAGGTCCTTGGATTACCGAGTAAACATTGAATTGGGGGTATCAGTTGGTGAGCTGAGGTTTGATTTTAGTCCTGTAGATCAATATGCCTGTCTTGGCAAAAGTATTCCCAGAAACATTACGGAATAGTCTCTGTGCTTCATATGTAACAGTGTCACCAAGTACAGGATAAAGGTTCCATCTTTGTTTTCTTCAGAAGTGATGGTAAATTTTTACTTTTTTTTTTAAAGGAAAAATGTGAGGAACTAGATAGTGAATTGAAAATGAATAAAGTAACTTTGAATTTTAACCGAGTGTAGACTTATATGTTGCTTAGACATGGTTGAATCTTGAAGATCCAAGAAACATTAGATATATTAGAACATGACTTTGATTGCATTTCGACAAGTATCTTCATTGTGTAATCCGATTATTAATAGTCTAAGCATTATTTATGGACGAATTGTGTCAGGTAAGAAATATAACATTTTAAAATATTATGACAAGGCAGTTTAGAAATATGTTGCTGTTTGACCTTGCTTTTCTATTATTTTAACTTTTAATATTTTTAAACTGTTATAGTCTCCTGAAGTCAGTTAGATATTATACCTTGATTTAAATTTGTATGTCATTGTTCTCAAGTGCCATCTGTGATTTCTAATAGTAGTTGTCTCTATGCAAGGGGAGGTTATCATTTTGTTGAAAATGCTAAATTGTAATTCTAAGAAGAGGTGCTACCTAGTGACTTTTGCCATAAACTAAAGTGAAGAGTTCTGCAGAAAAGTTAGACTTTGTAAAAGTTTGGATTGTGCATTTCTTTGATTTTTTGGAAAATGAACATCTTAATTTTTGTCTTTGCTGACTTGTATTTACAAAATACAAACACTTTCTTTGGTTTGAGCTATTGTGATACACTCTTTCATCTACCCTAAAGAAAAATCTGTACTGTTTAGATATTTGCCACCAGCACTAAGACAAAGCACCTAATGGCTAGGTGTGTAATTAAGAACTTACTCCAACCTGTTTAGTTTCAATTTATAGAGCTTTACATTTTTTTTTTATTATTTTAACAGGAGAAAAATGGAAATTGCTTATCTGATGTCTCACACATATCATAAGCTTGAAAAAAATTCAAAACAAAATGTGAATTTCATTTAGGATTGTATAGGACTTCCATTCACTGTGTAAAAAAAATGAACTAAGACAGTGAAGGGACCCCCATCCACCACATCATTTAATGGGTTAGAATAGTCAGGGACCTGTTACACTAGTGCTAAAGAGAAGAGAGCTGATTTTTCTTCTGATTGGGACAGTGTTGGTATCATACCCTTTTCTAGAATTGGGCAGGTCACTTTTTCCACTCACCTGTATAATTTGCTAAATAAATTGGTGTTGTAATTCTGGCGTTTAAAAGAATGGTATGTTCTCCCAAACTAGGAGTCTGATGATAGCAATAAAGTGATCCAGTACAGGGTGTTGTTACACCTTCAACAAGGAATCCATTGGGCTGAAAGATAATTTTAATTGAGGAGTATGCATTTTCCTGAAAATTGAGTTGGAAGAAAGATTATTTGAAAGGATATTGTAATTCACAGCCAGACTGTGAATTAAGATTGAAAATGATGAGTATAATACAGCACTAGACTGAGTGACAAGGACAGGTTCTAGTTATAGTTCTTATATTATTTCATCTCTGAGCTCACATTCTTCTAATTAAGGAAAGAGGCTGGATTAGATAAATTTCTGGGCTTTATCCAGATCAAAATCAGTAATCCTGCAAGTGAACTCTGTCTTAAAGTACTAAAGTCAAATTATTATACAATCCAGTTCAAATTCAAATTTAAAAGAAAAAAGAGGTATAGATTTTATAAAATGTTTTGGTCTCACTACAATAACTTGATTTTAAAATGCTCTTTATTTTCATGTTAACTCCATTAAATAAGATGAAAAGTTTCAGACCATTTACAAAATGACTGTCAGTTTTAACAGTGTACATCAATGTAATGTGTAAGGAAGAATACTTGATAGGCTGCTTTATCAACTGTAAATTAAAAGCAGCATGTTTTATGGTATTTGCTGTTAATAGAAATTCTGCTGACTATTAATGTATACTTTAAAATATATTCATGTCTGCGAGAGAACTTTTAAAAACATTTTGTGTTTAATTTTTTTAAAAAAATCTCTTTATTAGGAATCTATAAGAAGATAGACCAATCCACAGAGCTAGTTATCCACTAGAACCTGTGATTAAATCCAAGTGTATAGGTTTATGTGTACACACACATTGATATAAATGGCAATTTTTAGCCATTTATGTAATCTATTAATAATCTAAACATTATTTGAATTTGGTTCTTTTAACATTTAAACATAGGATTGATAGGGTTTCGTTTTGATTTCTTGTAATGGGGATTGAACCTAGGGGCACTTTACCACTGAGCTACATTCCCACCCCTTTTAATTTTTTATTTTGAGACAGGGTCTTGCTAAATTGCCCAGGCTAGCCTTGAACTTGTGATCTTCTGAGAAGCTGGGATTACTGGTGTATACCACCTTGCCCAGCTAGAGTAGTAGTTCTTGATACAGATGTGAACATAAAATATCATGTAGTTTGGTTGTTAACTAGTCTCTTACCAGTATCAGCCATGGCAGTGGAAATTAGTAGCCAAATAGGATTCCTTTCCTATGTTTCTATCAGTGTACTTTAACCTTGCCTCATACCACAAAATTTTACCCCATCCTACAGAGTTAAATGCCCTGCTTCTAACACCCATTCTCCTATGACAAACTCTTGTTTCTCAGTGTACCATTTTCTTAAATAACACTAGAGAAGTGGTATGGTTCCTTTTTTTTTTTTTTTTTTTTTGGTGGTGCTGGAATTGAACCCCAGAGCCTACTGCATGTGGAGCAAATATTCTACCACTAAGTTCTCTCCCTAGCCCTTGTCATATCTTTTGTTTGTTTGTTTTTTTAGTTATAGATGGACACAATATCTTTCTTTATTTATTTATGTGGTGCTGAGGATCGAACCCAGTGCCTCACACGTGTGAAGCAGGTACTCCACACTGATCCCCAGCCCCAGCTCCAGCCCATATCTTTAAGAGATTGCGGACCATTGTGTTAGCCTCTTTGCTAAAGCCTTTTATCATATGGGTTCAGGTATATTATAAAAGAAGAAAACATGCCTGGAATAGAACAGTCTGGAAAGCCCCAGGAAGCAACACTGTTTCTGTAGACTATCCTTGATCTGAAATCAGTCAGGGTTCTCTGTTATATAGGTTTACATTAAAATGAATGCCTAAAAACCAGTACTTTGTAAGATTTCAGGTTTCCATGTTTTCTCTTACACAATTTTCTGTGGGGTGGCAGGAGAGGGGAGGGCATCAGAAAACAATTGGTTAGGAGGCAGAAGCTAGAATGAGGAGATCTGATAACTGAAGTTGAAGACCAGAGCTTCAAGCTTCCATAGGTTTGGGTTGGACCACTACTCAAGTCTTTCTAGCTCTGCAAGTCTGGGAAGAAAATAATTAGCGCCCCAGTGGTCATCAGAGCCCTCTATCCCTGCCTTTTAGTAATCATCACATTATTAAGATCCACAAGGGCAGAGAATATGTTCTGCTTATATTTATATTCCTAATATCTATCCTGCACTCTCAACCCTGTGTCAGAATAATTAGGAAAGACTATCTAAGAGTGAGGGAGTCTAATCCTAGGGTTCATTCTGGTGTTGTTTGGGGAGCTATAATCTGAGAAGTGCCATTCAGTTTTAAAATGTTTTATTAAAAATCATACAGAATTATATATTACAATCTTATAAATATGTATTTACAATAAAATATTATACGAAAGCATAAATTCTAGTTTAACAAACCCCTATATGTCTGTTAATCCCATCCCTTTTTAAAAAAATTTATTTTTAGTTATAGGTAGATACAATACCTTTATTTTACTTTTATGTGGTGCTGAGGATCGAACCCAGTGCCTCACACATACTAGGCGAGCACTTTACCTCTGAGCCACAATCCCAGTTCCCAATCCATCCCTTCTTAAAAGATATTTTCTGTCTTCTGTTGCCACTGATTACATAGGCTTCCTCTGTCTTCCCTCTCCCTTCAGATGAATGACTAACAGAATGTTTTGGGGGTGGGGGCGCGCACTGATCCACATCCCCAACTTTTTTAATTTTTTATTTTGAGACAGGTTATTGCTAAGCTGCTAAGTTGCTGAGGCTGACCTTGAACTTTTGATACTCCTGCCTCAGCCTTCTGATCTGCTGGGATTACAGTTGTGTGCCACTATGCCCAGCCAGAATGTATCATTCTTGAATCTTCTATATTGAGTACATAAACCTGCAGCAAAAGTATGAGGAGAAATTTAAACTTTTTGAATCATTTATTCAGGTAGCTATTTTTTAGCATCTGTATTTTATTATAAAATTAATCTAGTTTTAGTTGGATACAATACCTTTATTTTATTTTATTTTATTTATTTTTTAGTTGTAGTTGTCAATAACTTTATTTTTTTATGTGGTGCGGAGAATGGAACCCAGGGCCTTGCACGCCCTAGGCGAGTGCTCTACCACTGAGCAACAATCCCAGCCCCACAATACCTTTATTTTATTTATTTATTTTTATGTGGTGCTGAGGATCAAACCCAACGCCTACCATGTGCTGGTTGAGCGCTCTACCTCTGAGCCATAACCCCAGCCTCCAGAAAGCTTTTTTTTTTTAAAGTTCCTAAAACAGATGCACTCAGAGTAACTGAACTGGATGATCACTTCTACCAGTGGAAACCTTTTTATTGAATTTATATAAATTAGGTAGCCCATAACCTTGCCCTTATTCTATTCCATAGAAGTTCCCCTGTGCCTCTGGTGCTGAGCACAAAACGTGATTGTTGTCTTTGAGTACAAATATTTGGAAACGCAGAGAAACCCTCTACTATGATGTGTATAAGATTTTAACTTATTTTTGACATAAGAATATATTGCTTCTATTCATTACTTTAAATGTAGAGACTCCCTTGTTTAAACAACCTTACTTTATTTTCAAGCATCTATTGAAATAATTTTCACTCTTCCAGGTACATAAAGTGACCACATAAAATGTAGGTTAGTTCTGCCCTTAAACCAAAGTATAGATTATAGACACATTTTCAATTTGCAACACCACAGTAGGCATTCTTGTTAAATTAGTGTGAGAAATTAACTTTATTTTGTACAAGGTACAATCCCTCTGCACAGTGAACAAATATATTACAAATCTGTGGTTTAAAAAAGTATTGCCATTTAATAGTATCTTTTATGCTATTGTACAATAAATTGTTTCTTCCTATTTATTTGAATTGTATGCATATCATTTTATTTGATTGAAAATTGAGTTTCTGAAAAATAATCGAACAGATCTTTCCAAATCACCAATACAATGTACAGTGCACATGCTTAGGCTGACCCTGAACCTATTTGTGACAGTGCTAGACAGAAGTTATTCTAACATTTTCTCTGTAAGATTGAAATGTCTTTTACCAGTGACTCCTAGATATGTGAAGGTGGTGTTGTTACCATAGATTAATCACATCCTCTGCCTTTTCCTTTCTGTATTGCCTGACTTGAGCTGTATTACATTGCCTTAAAAAGTCATAGAATGCTAGAGCTGAAGAGCTGGTAGAGCTCCCTTCCCACTCTGCTTCTTCACTTTTTATGCATGGGGGATAAAGGAGCCCAAACAGGCAAGTAACTTGACAAGAGTAATACAGAAGTCTCAACTCAGTGCTCTAGCCATTTCACCTCCTGCTGGATACACTTGCCAAGGGTGCAGTTTGCAGAAGAGAGGTGAAACTTGAAACTTGAGTGATGCTGCTTATTTGCAGTTTGTCAGGTAGCAGTTATTGCACATGCAGGATAAGGGAAGAAGATAAAACCTGGGATTGAGATGAAGTTTCTCCTTGCTGATTTGACTTTGCCATGCCGCTTCATCTTTGCTTGACAAAGATAATTGAGCACTTTGTGGCCCTAAAATACTGAGGTAAGTCTCATCTATTTTCTTTCTATATATGTATGAGAAATATTTACTTGGGTCTACAAAGTAATTTTCTAGTATTTATATTTTAATAAGGCTTTTTTGGAAAGTAAATTTTCTATTGCTGATCACTCGCTCCCATGCACACATGCAGCATTCATGTAAGTATTATATATTTTCCTCTAACACTAAAATTTGTTTATGTCTTGAGAAGTGGGGGAGGGGGATTTACTCGTTTATTTTCTTGCTTTTGCTGATTATTGCCCAAACTAATGGGTTCTATGGCAGACTTCCAATTTTTATCAAGGGTTTTAGAACTCCCACACAACCTGTAGCCATATTCCAGCTTTGCAGTCATTTAGATCCTTTTCTTTATACCTTTTTTAGAAGTCCTTTTTACTGGTTGTACAGTTTCCAGAGAATGAAGTGGAATAGGGGTGACCATTAGCTACCACAGTTTGCCTTTTCTGTTTTGAATTCTTATAAAGAGGTTCTCTGTAGGGCTTAGAAGCTAGTTCCATTGAAATTATCTGAGCCTTCTTTTACCTACATTCATTATTAATGGAAGATATAGACACATTTGACCACTGGGATCTGGAGCATTAACTCATTGGAACAGATATTTGGCCATCTCAGTAGTTTGTGATTTTAAGGTAGAAGCACTGCATAGCTTCATGTTCTGTTTACTATAAAGTTTTTACATCATATTAAAATTACTTATAGTCCATTCTTTGATCATTTATCTTATTTAGTTCCATCAAAAAGCATAATGTATGTTAAGCAACATAAACTTGCTGTATCCACATTTGTCTAATTTCCTTTTAGATTCTATACTGCAAACTCAAGATTTTTAACTGCTTGAAATCAAGTACTTTTGTGAGTCAAGGAGTGCCAACTAAATTGGGAAAGCCAAATAGCCATTTTTAGGGATACTTAATTTTTTAAAAAATATTTTTAGTTGTAGATGGACACAGATACCTTTATTTATTTTTATGTGGTGTGGAGGTTTGAACCCCTTGCCTCACACATGCTAGGTAAGTGCTCTATCACTAAACTCAACCCCAGCTCAGGATATTTAATTCTCATCAGTCTGTGACTACTTACTTAAAGCATAATCTCACAAAGCATAATGTCAGTGCTCTATTTCACATGGAATAACTTGGGTATTGCATGAACTAAGGCAATATGACAAGGCCAGGACTGACTTGCATTGTTCCAGAACTTTTAGTTGCAAAATTTGGCAAAGCTGGCCTAGAGATCATTGTAGATTGAAAGAGACAACTGCACTTTGGAAACTAAATTTTTTTCTTTTTCTTTCTTTCCGGCCAATTATCACAGGGCCGTAAAGAGAAAGTTAATTTGTGATTTTTAAAGTCTTGTTTTTAAAAATGAAGTTGTCAGCATCAGATTATATACTACTGTAATCATGACTGTTGTGACTTGATGGACCAGACATATATGTACAGGTACTTTAGGAATGGTATTAGAACAGTTCATATCTATGTACTAATTATCTCAGGTAGAAAAACAGATGTTGATGGAAATAGCAGCCAAAAATACAATACATTTCAGGTGCTTTAAAGTAATCCTCTCCCCTCTGCAGTCCCCTTTTCCTCCTAGGAAGGTTTACAAAACCTATTCTACATGCTTTATAAGCATCGTGTTTCAGAATATTAAAAAAAAATTATATATATATATATATATATATATATATATATATATATATATATATACAGTATTTAGTTGAGGTTGATGAGTAGTGGTATCTTAAATGTTTTTAAAAAATCTCATAATCCAGGGCATTGGGGCTGGGGTGGGTAGGTGACAGGTTTTGCCTTTGTGAACAGACTTCCTTGAATAGTTACCCCAGTCCCACTTGGAAGCTCTTCTTTAGTTCCAGGTGAACTAATATGCAGCTGGAGTCAATCTGTACCATTATTTCAAGTCAAGGGATTGTCTTCTTTCAGAGAGTCAGAATATTCAGCAGAGAACACTGTAAGAGAGAAGCTTATCCCTCTTTAAGACTGCTTGTCCTGGGAGGGCCCATTGGCAGGACTTTGTCTTACTGGGAGAAGGTCATAATGACCAGGAATATGGCTGTTCCTAGGTAGGTCGTATGGATTCTGGACATAGCTGGAGTTATGACCGCGGCCTTCTTGGACCACACTGACTGTGGGCTCTAAGGAATATAGTGAAAAATGAGTTCAGAGAACAGATTAGCTTTGGTTGTCTTGTTGAGAAGGAAGAGAGTACTATATAACTTGGCAGGGAGAGGAGCTAGGGGTTTATAAATCTATGACAAATATCTGAGGGTAAGAACTGAGGCTTACTCAAGAGATGGTAAACCTAAGTGAATGTGCTGTCAAGATCCCACTCTCTGGTCAACACCAAGAGACTTGGGATATCCAGAAGTAGGGGTCTTATCAAAGAGCTCAGGAACATAGTTTAAACCGGGAGAAGATAGAAGAGGGCAACTTAGAAACTTGCAGATGTCCATTCTGATTATTTTCTTTTTTAAACTGGGATTTGTATCCACATCAGTTGAAGTGCGTGGACCCATTCCCCATCCCCACTATTTCTGCTTCATATTAGTTCTGGTGTTTTTTTAAAGCAGAGTTACAAGAATTTGATTTCCTGCATTAGAGGGGAGGGCAATATTGGGTTCACTTTGGATTCCTTAAAAAGCAACCAAAGGAAGGGTGTATTGTCAAGACAGGGTGAGTAGAGAGGGTTTGTTTTTACTTGATGCTGTACTATGGCCCTGATTTCACTAAGTTACTTATTTGAGACACCTACCAACTTCATATATATTTTTATTAGATGTCGACAAGGTTGGCACATCTGTGTACGGAGACCCCCTGTGCACAGGCGACTTCATTTCTACATAGCTGCTTTCTGGAAGCTTGCAGGTGAGGATGGGTGGGTCTTTAATTGTGGCATAAGGGTTTTCACTGCTGTTCAAGGAACAGGTACTAGAACTGCACACGGATTCTTTCATGTAATCTGCAAGGCAAGAGAGATTCCTTAGGACAAGCAAGGACATAAGTCGTCATTTAAGAATCAGGAACAGGCTGCAGTTGAGTTTATTGGCCATCAGGAACCTGAGGCTAGAAAAACCTATGATAATTGAAGATTTATTTATTTATTAAATGTCTTAAGGTAGTCTTTTCTGGGTAGGCAGAGTTCTTTCTCAAAGAAACTTACATTTTTGGAGGTTAGGAAAGTATTTGTTTTTAGTAATTAGATACGAATTTATGACACCCATAATACACTTTCACTTACAGTTTTTTTTTTTTAGTTGTAGATGGATACAATACCTTTTTTAAAATTTATTTTTATGTGGTGACAAGGATCAAACCCAGTGCCTCACACATGCTAGGCAAGCGCTCTACCTCTGAGTTACAACCCCAGCCCTCACCCTCATGTATAGTTTTGAGAAGTAATATTTTGCATTTTGTAGAATGAAGGCCCAGAGGTCACAACTAGAAACAGCAGTGCTAAGACTTGAATCCATGCCTTGGCACTCTTGGCCTGTGTGTTTTCTGTAATATCGTTCTGAATTCTTTCTGATGATTAAGAGGCTTCAGTTCAGAAGAAGCATAAAGATGTTTTTTAGCATAAGTGTCAGCAATTTAGCAACCTTTAGGTGGTAGACTAGTGGTATCCCTGCCTTTCAGGAGCTCCTGAATACATAGTTGGGTAGATAAGTATAAAAAGAACCTCAGTCTCAAAATAGACTTTGGGAAGTTCCTGTTTTCTAGCAAGCTTGCACTGTATCTTCTAGGGTTGCTTTCTCCAGTTCTCATGAATGCTGAAACCTATTTCAGCAGTATCGTCCTCTGACACTAGAACTAGTGCTGTCTTTCCTGCCACCTCTCAGTTGCCTCATCTCCAAGACTTCAGGGTACGTGAAACTGGCTTCCAGTCATGAAACAAGGGAATTGTAGCTCCACTGGAGGAAGTCACTGAGGTCTCACAGGGAAAGGGGATTTCCTCCTTCAACTGCTACACTATTCCCTTTTTGGTGACGATTTCTCCCTCCTGTAGATCATCACAAGTGAGGTAGGACTTGCCTGGAAAAAAAAGTAGACTATACTATGTAGTCTGACAGCTATGACCCTCATATGGAAGGCTTTGGCAGATGGGGAGTCTAGAAACAAATACTGAGTCATAGGTCCTTGATACTAAAGAGTGATTTAAGAGGACTTTCAGCTCTGAATTTCTATGAAAGATAGCAGGTGATGAAATTCTCTCATAGTCTTTCACTAAAACCCCACAATTTACATTTTAGGTTGCTGTTTATCTATGCTGTCTCTAGCTTGTGAGATTATTGAAAATGTTTAAAGTGAAAGTGATATAACTCAAGGGGTAACTAGATGTGCCTTGGGCCAATGAGAGCAGAGCACTCCATGAGGCAGAAGGTGGTGGGATGTGTGCCACCACAAGTAGTCTTTTCTCAAAACAGGTAATTGGTTGGGATGGGATTATTTTTTCTGTTAATTTATGCATCTGTGCTGCAATTATTTGTTTTCTCAGGTAACATTTCCTCAATCTTGTACAAAAGTACATTCATTCATTTGTTCCTTCAGATGTTTACATTGCTGGATGATACAGGTATTACTGATAGAGTGATAATTATTATTTACTCCTTCCTCTGCCTAACTGCTTATGATGAAATTGAGACTTACAGTGAGGAATTGAGTTCCCCAGGCTCATACTGCTTCAGTAGCAGACAAATTGTAGAGTCAGACTCAGTACTTTCTGCAACTAGAAAGGGATGTTTTGCCTTTGTCTTAGATTATGACTTCTTTATAGCATATGACCACAGAGAGAAGGAGAAAACATTCTTACAATATAACAAGCAGTCTCAGGTAGTTTCGGCAAGGATTAAAGAAAGGCTGAATAGGCCCAACAGCTGGTGGAGGATCACTTGGGGAGAGGTGGCTGTGGGTCCTAGATCATGACCTGCCCAATCCCACATACAATTTGCCTCTCAGTAGGTGCTTTGTTTTATTGATACAAAGAATGGTGGTAAATCCAAGAAGCCCAAGATGGCCCATGGGTCCCAGTGTGGATTCTCTACTTAGCCAGCCAATGAGTAAGGCAATATGATTCAGGGCTTTTTATCTGGAAACTGTGTATTATTTAAAGAAAGGTTATCACAGCTGTCTTGGTTGCATATTTTCTAGAATTTGAGGAATAGCAATAGCTCAATTTGTGTGGCACAAATTCCTTTTGACACTTCTCATAGCTTTCTGTGAAGGGGACTGAGCACAAAGGAATGTTACTAATATTTTGAAAACAAGGAAACTGAATCCAGAAAGTTTGTTACATACTGTTTAATGTTAGTAAGTAGTTAAGTTAGGACTCAATCCCTGTCTTCTCTGATAACTGAGCAGGATGTTTTTCCCTCAGGACATCTTGTTATCCAGAGCTCCTGCCCTTATCTCTAAATGTAAGCGATCTGCAGATGCTTTACCTTACTGTGGACAAGGAATACCTTTAAACTGGGGCCAAACCCTGCTGAGAGAAAAAGGCTAAGCTGTAAACTTGATGCCTCCTGTGGGTATCCCACAATCAAGCTATGGTAGTTGGGGAGCCTTGAAATTCAAGCTCAATGCCTAAAAGAGATCAGGTAGCCAGTGGTATCTCCTTCACATTTTTGTTAGAAAGTCAGGGCTGCTTTCAATATTTGGGGAATAAATTGATTGCTTTGGAGCAGGACATATATTTAAATCGATAAAAGAGAAGTTTGGTTTGGTGGGAAGGGATTAGGCTCAGATAGAGGTATCTTCCATTTAAGGGCCAGAGGTCAAGACAAGGGATGTAGAACTGCATGAGGATAGTGGGGAGAGTATGCATGTGTTGGGTATTACTCCATCTTTGCTGGGAACTAGAGGATGAGGAAGAGCAAGGCAAACTGGAAAACTCTACCTCACAAAGCTACTCTCCAGCTGAGTTACTCACCTGCATGCAAGAAGGGAGGGCAGGGGAAGGGGAAGAATAACCAGTTGCTTAGATACTTCCTCATCTTTTTACAGCCCCACCCCCACCCAGTCCATGCCCTTTGGGTATTTTGGAAAAAAAAAAGGGAAGCTTCAGCCAAGGCTACCCAAGCTCTGGGGAGTCACTCCTCTGGGGCCTTGTAATTAGTATCAGAATTGAAGGCTTAGTCTTTATAAGTGACCTGGCATTTGCTCTCATTAACTCTTACCTCTTCCCAAATCACATGTGATCAAGTATCATCACTAGCTTTTGAAGTAAACTAAACATCCTTTTATGAGGAAGCACAAATTCAGAGAGAGGAAATGGCTTTCCAAAGCCACCTTGAGAAGGGGAGAGAGAAAAGCATTTAGCAGTAAAAGTGGTCTCAGCCCCAGGATGAAAGTGGGTGTAGTTCTTCAGTAAGCAACAGGAAAAAGAGTGGGCACAGACCGAATTAAGACTGGGAATGTTGGAACTGGAAAGGGCCTTAGAGGCGGTGCTAGGACAACTCCATTCTTTTGAAAGAGGAAGAACCCAAGATCCAAAACACAGTGCTGTGACCTAGTCGGTACCACACAAGGAAAAGAACCCAAATCTCTCAATTTATAGGCAAGGGCTTTTTTCCATTGCGTTCAGAGAATACATGGATTCTTAGCAGTTCTGATTTCGTTTTGCCCTGTAGTTTTAGGAAATGATTTAATTTGTGGTACAAACTAGTTGTTAATTTGGGGTTTAACCAATAAGGATTTGTTTCATGTCTTTTGTAAGTATTTCTATAAAGTTTTGAACCATGACATTTCATTTTTCTCTTTGTGAATTCTCTTGTTCAGATATGTTGGTCCCTAACACCTGCTGGTACATTTGCCTACACAATTCTTTTGTCTTTAGTTTAAAGGATGATTATAGCCAGAGTAGTGAAACAAAACCTGACTGCCTGCCTGCTAGGGCCTTTCATGCATGCAGAGGCTCAGATGTGTGATTCTATAAAACAGGAATGGAATGGTGCCAAAGCAGAGATACTGCTTTCCTTAGCTTTGTTTTACATTTATGGTTTTGAGTCTAAAAGTAGCTACCTTAATCACAATGCACAGGATGATAAAGGACACAGGAAAGTTGTGCTCTCATTTATTAGCATCTGGGCCTGTCTGAGCTTATTCACATTTGAGTCATGCATATTCTCAGCACTGAAAAGGCCCTTAGAGACCTTTCTGCCCAATCCCCATGTGTATTTCAGAAAACAACTAAAGTCACAGTAATGGAATGGACAGCTAGCTCTCTGTCCTTTCTGGTTTTTTTTTTTTTTTTTTTTTTCACCCTGAAATGGTGTTTGCTTCCATTTGGATGGTTTTTAAGTCAGAACTTTTAGAAAAATTGCTAGTCATTCTCGCAAGGAAGTAGCCTGGGTCTGACCTCCTGCCCTTAGACAATTCTCTTTGGCTTTGAATATTCTAATGATGATAGTCACTCACCCTTAGTGTTCTCTTTCTCAGAACATGTTACTTACCACCACACCTGCCCCTTGCTCACCCCACTTATAGTAACCATCACCATAAGAGCTGTAGCTCTCACTTGGTTAGGAGATGGTTGTATCTTGGGGCTAAGTCTGAAAGGTCAGAAAAGTAACCTGGGAAATAGGGTCAGTCTAGACCAGTGGTTTCTAAATGGTAGTTGGATAATAAGCTGCTTAAGGATTCCCTGAGGTATCAAAAATGGAGTCTAGGACCCCCTTCATCTACTGCCTCAGAATCTCAGGGAAATGGTATATGAGTACCTGCAGTATTCAACTTAACAGATGATCCTGGTGCAGAGCTAGATTTAGGGTATCCATTGGGACCTTTACTGTCAGTCATTAGCTCTTTCAGTTTAGCTGAGACTCGTCTAAACAGACCTCAGAGACAAAATGACAGCCCCTTTACATTAGTACAGTGATTATAATATGCAAAAACATTTCCCATCTGTGGTTTTATTGGATACTCATGATAACCTTGTTAGATAATAGGAGAGGCATTTGACAAAAGGATACGCATAATTATCCCAACCTTGCAGATGAGGAAACTGAGCCCTGGGGAGCTCACAGTTAATACCAAAGCCCCTTATTTTATATGTTCTGGCATTTAAACCTAGGACTTAGTCCAGGGGCAGGACTTGACCTTTCATTTTTGGCTTCACCCATAGACTTCCTAGAGGGAGTTATCTGTCTTGCATTTCCTATGTGTTAGGGTACTCTTGGGAGCCGAGATCTCTTGAGGTAAAGTGCATACAATATTAGCACTGGGTATCATTTTCATCCCTTATGCCCCAGAAAGGCAGCAGGTGCAGGGTGGCGTTCTTCACCAGCACGACAGGAGGCCTCTGGGGCAGGTAGATTGACTTTATTTCAGATTTTATTATCAATTTAACTCATACTAATTGGTGGGATAATGACGTTCTACATTTCCGAAGACATTTAGTTGGCATCTATATAAAACCCACAAGGGTTTGCTAAGCAGGTGCAACTGAAATCGAAAGATGAATTCATTATTATTATGATTTCTCCTCTTGGGCAGAGCTACCCAGCAGCCCCAGGTCCTGTGGCCTTTTAATTTTTGTTTTAAGGGAGTGGGTTGAGATATGCAGTTTCTCTCAGGCAGAATTCCTGGTCATTTCAGATCTGTACTTTCTCTTGCTAAGCCCTTTGTAATAGGACGTCAGGATTGGATACTCTACCTTTGAAGCCTTTGTCCATAATGTATGTGTTCTGACGTCTATCCATTCCACAAGCACCTGTGTAAAAATACGGGAAGAAAATATGGGGGTGAGGTTTATTTAGACTGCTTATGTTCTTACTCTTTTTATTTCCCTTTCTCCCTTAACCAAAAAATAGTTATTGGTAGAAAATTTTTCTGGGCTTAATCTACCCTGAATCCGTTTGCATGTATAGGAATTCTTAAAAGGCTCGAGGCGTTAAGGTGTGCCACAGCGCCCCCTGGCACACTCGGTCTTCCCTTTAACCTTCACCTCAGGAGAGTGCCTTTTAGGAGGTAATAAAAGGCAGTTCCGATGTCACATGCAGTCACTGTAAGTGAAGTTCCAGGCTCCAAAGGTACAGGATAAGAAGAAGCAGGACCAGTTTTTAGCTTGAGGGAAGGATGTAGGATAATCCAACTCTCCTTTCTGTTGGATTTTGGAATGGGTTGGAGACAGTGTTTCTCATCTCTCTCAGCTCTGGTCTTGCCTATCCTCTCTTGAATCCAAGACTCAATGAGGGGAGCCAGAGGGGGGTACACAGATGGCTGAGGTTCTTGATTAGTCATCTTTATAGGAAGTATAGTAATCCAGAACCATTCTCTCAGTTACCCGTTTTTGGGGGGTGAGCCACTAGTATATAATTGAGATTTATTTTTGAAAAGTATTACTGGTGTTTTTCCAGCTCCAAGAATTTCTTTTTCCCTTTTGCTGTCAGTTTGTTTTCCCTAGGTTCCCACAATGCATGGTCCTGATCCCTAGTCAGGCAGGATATAAAGCTTCAGGGACCATGTTTGGGTTATTTTGTCACTGCTGATCTCAGAAAAGAAATGGTCTAGTATTTCTAAGTTGGGACAGTAATAACTCTGGCTCAAAGTTAAAGCCACCCGTCCCCAGCTTTTGCAGACATTATATAAAGCAAGGCATGCAGCAGGTGCTTACTAAAATACAGTGTGACTCCACTTAACTCTTCCCCTGTTTCTGACACTGAAGACCAACCACTGCTGCTCTCTTCCACAGAGTTCACAAGTTGAATTTGCAGGGTTTCATTGCTGTCTAACTGCTGTGTACACATTACTGAGTGATACAGCAGAACCAGACCCAAGTTTTTCTCAAGTTGGCCATTCTTCTAAAAGGCCTACAAGCTGTGCCCTGCAGAAACAAGACTGCACTAGTCTCGATATCAGTATCTAGTATCAGACTAGCACTTTGTACCAGACAAGAGATTTCTTTGCCCTGACTTAAGGAGGGTGGTTAGGCTGTTAATTTTTTTTCTTTTTTTTTTATAGAACAGAGCCCCAAAGAGTGGCAGAGACTTGCTTAAGACCATACCAGCAAGTGAGAAGTTGAGTTGCAACTAGGGCCCAGATATCCCCAACTGTTCTCTACCATTGACCACCAACTAGCCTGCCTGAATGTAAGCTGCCAAATGACAATATGTGGTGCTTGGCTATGCCCTGACATGAGCCCAGAGGATGCTCTCATGTGGAAAGAGATATAAGGTGGTGGTGGCATGTGTATTGGCAGGGAGGCGTAGTTGGTAGGGTTATTGAGTGTCCTAGCTACTGTCCGGGATACCCATAGTCAAAAACACAGCATCTGTGGCTGGGATTGTGGCTCAGTGGCAGGACGCTTGCCTCACATGTGTGAGGCACTGGGTTCGATCCTTAACACCATATAAAAATTCAAAACAAAACACAGCATCTGGGTATGGGTATAGAGTACTTGCTGCCTATGCGGGGTCAATAGGTGGATGAATTGAGAACTTTTGCTCTTTCTAGTGCTACGGGACCCAGGACCTTCAGAAGTTGGTAGAGCTGCTTGATATCCCTTGAGCTCCTGAAGCCCCCTGGAACTGAGGTTGGGCCCAGAGTTGTCCAGTGTCTTATGGCCCTGCCCCAGGGTGCCCTAGAAACCAGTCTGTGAAGACACAGTGACTAGAGAAGATATTTTCTGGTCATTAATTTTATTCATTCCTTTGATACCTACTTCTATAACTCCTATCCCCATGCTCCTATTTTAGGACTTGCCACATTTCCTTTTTGCACCTCTCCCAAGCCACCAGGTTCAAGCTTAATATATGAATACAGAGGGCGTTGGTTGACAGATCCTCCCTTAGTTTCCCCAGATTTCTGCTCTGCAACCCTACCCAGTGATCTGGGAATGCTTAAATTTGCCCTTGGTGAGTCTGGGGTCTCTAGGGGACTTTTGGCTTTTTGGTCAGAGAACAAACTCTGTTACCTGCACTAATAGGGACTGGAGAATTCCAAAGGTGTCACCATCCCCAAGCCATTTTCCATTTCCCAAGGGTTGCATTTTATGGGCTACAGGGAGTGCAGTTATATTGAGTCCCTTCCACCTAAAGCAACCCAGGTTTGTCCACATCTACTGGCCATGATAGAACAGATTCAGACAGATTGCCTTCTTAGGGCTGGGCATTGGATTGGCATTGGGAAGGAGGGGAAGGTTCAGCAACAAGACTTCTGGGGCCATAGGAGTGGCTGAGGTAGGGATGGGGAGTAGATCAGGGGCTGGGTCTGGTCTGAGAGGGTGGAGGGTAGGTCTGGGGCATCTGACCTGGCGAGTGTGGCTCAGCGTGGTGGCTGAGGTGTCTAAGTTCAATGTAGAAGTCCTCGGGCGGGTACCTGGCCTCCAGGGCACTGATCTGGAAATGGGAGTCTAGTGAGAGGAATGACAGGGAGGAGCCATTATTTCTGGGGCCTGGTGTGGTAGGAAGAGGGGGTGGGAAGTATCTGAGGAGGCAAGGGTCAGGGTGGAGCAGCCTAGAAGGAATCAAGGCCTCAATGTGTAAAGTCCAAAGGGGCCAGGGCTGATGGAGCAGGGTATCTGCTAGAGAGCCAAGGCCATCTGCCTTGTTTCCCCCATACCTCCCACCTCCACCCCATACAGGGCACAGGGAGGAAGCCCTTGAAAGGAGTACTTTGGGAGGGCCTGGGTCAGACAAAAGTCCTTATCCCAGACGGTGAGCAGACCTTTTGCTTCCATCTAGAATCCCCATATTCCAGCCCTACCTGTCTTCCTTTGTGGTCCCAAGGGTCATTAGCCACCCACTCCCTATCATCTTTTACAGAAATTAAGGGAGTCCTGGGCTTCATTTGCTTGGGTTTCTCCCTGCTCCCATTCTCCCTGGGGCAAACCGTGCTCAGGACTTACAACCTTCTCCCTTTGAGCTGGGTTAGGGCCCTCTCAACATGGAAGAAGAAAACGGTGGATCATGATGAGGGGAACCAGACTGAAACCACTACTGACCTAACACGTTCACATAGCTGTAGGGGGTCCAGCCTGCTGTGTCTCTGTCAAGGGACTTGTTACTGAGCTGTTTGGAGAGTAGGAAAGCCAGTTAATACCTAGTTCCCCTGGGTTCCCTCCCCAGCCGTCACTTGGTTCTACCTCAGCACACCCACTCCTGTGATGATTTTGGACACGGAGGGGAGGGAAGTACTAGATGAGAACCAAAATAGGGGCTTGAGTCACCATATTGTGGCTGAGGCCAATGGGAACAGAACATCCCTCGTCCACACTGTCAGGTTGAAGTTATAGGATTCCCAGGCTCTTGTGGCAAGGGAGAGGGCAGGAGCAGGGCCTCCCAATGGCCAAGAAGGCTTGAAGCAAGTGAGCCTCTTTCAGGGGTGGGGCTAAGCTGCACGAAAGGGGCTCTGGAAGTGCCTCAACTGTAACATGAGGCCATTGCCACCACAGAGGTAGGTGTCAGAGCTGCCCACGGTGTTTGCCACCTGACCTGGGACGCATGATAGTCTCCCTTTCATATGACCAAGGGAAAGCCTCAGGGCAGGAAGTCTGGAGGCTTATGTTCAATTCTCCCTACACCTCACAGCCACCCTTCATAAAAGGCAAGCATGTTATCCTCATTTCACACACACGGGGACCTGAGTTCTGGCTTTGAGCTTTGCTTGAGGACACACAAGGAGTCAGTGACAGAGCTGAGTCTAGAACTCTGACCTCAGCTCCCAGTCCGGTATCCTTTTTGATGTTGCCATAGCTTGTTGCTTCTGCTATATTCCTTTCTGCCACATTGAGGGGTCCTTGATCATGTAGAAGCACTCTGGGGTGAGGTGAGGTGAGCCAGAGAGTCAGAATACCCAGTAGGGTGCTCCGCAGTAACTTTGGCCCCTTACTGAAAGGTGCGTCCCTGTAAATTGAGACCAAGAATGCCATTGTCTTTCATTTCTAGTGTCTTTTGCCTCTAGCCTGCTGCAGCCTTGGTAATGTGGTCTTCTACTGGGAAACTCCAAATTTTCTTAAGATCCCAGCTACTCAAGTCTAAAGGTAAAGCTGGGAACAGAGGTCTGAACAAAAGGGACACACACACAAAGTGGCCAGTGCTAGTGGACTATGTGTGGGGTTGATGGCCACAGACTTTACAAGGGGGCCTCCAGGTACCCCACATGCAGCACTCCTGTTCATAGGAAAACAGGCTGGGAGGGGTTAGAGGATGGTGCCTTGACTGGTTGCTTGAGGCTGTACAGAGTCTTTGTTAGCATTGCTGTGGGGTTTAGGCTTCAGTACTCCCAAGTCTGTGGACTGGTGGTTTTTCTCCAGGGGGCAGACAAGGAGGGTGGAATTCCTAGAGCTCCAAGTCAGTGGCCTGGAATATGAAAGCTATGCTCCTGGCCCAGAATGGATGTTATAGGAAGCCAGGAGTCCTGGAACTGCTCATTCCTCAAAATGGCTCTGCTGGTGTGTGTGTGTGTGTATGTATGTATATGTGTACATGTATGTGTGGGCACATACATAGGTGTCAGGAGGTTTGTAGCATGAACCCATTACTCCTTGTCCTTGGGTCTATTTGTCCTCATTCTCTCTCCCAGTGCCTGGTCACATACTAGCACATTAAGGGGGCACACTACTATTATCTATAAACAGATATACTGAGACAGCCCTGCCCAAAGGCCTGTGACTAAGATCATCTTGCTGTGCCATCAACCAGGGTTTTGCTGGGAGCTGTCAGGGAAGGCCCCATCCAGGAGAGTGCACAATCTTCCCAACTCCCTGTCGAAGTGGACACTGGCTATGGCTGATGTTTGAGTTACACATCTCTTGTGTTGGTTCAGATTGCAACAAATGGTGTGTACTGATGACACAGTATGTTCAAGTTCAAAAGACATTGAGTGGTTGAGTAATGGTATATTGTGCTGGTTACACACATTGTATTGCTAACATTCTGTAATGATTTGTGGTAGGTAGTATAGTGTTTTGATTACGTGTTGATGTTGGCAAAGGTGTCTAAATGGAATATACATGGTTATATGTAACAAGAAAGCTACATATGATGATTAAATGACTTGATACCAATTGGTTCCACACAAGGTGCAGGGGTATGTTACATAGAGAGAGATGCTGTAGGTTGGTTACATGTGATGCCTGCTGGTTACAGTACACTTGGCTCCACATACATGCTCTCATTACATGATTCTGTGTTTACATGTACCATGAATCCCAAGCCTGCTCTTAATGAATTAGTTCCATGTGGGCAGAGGTGAAGGCTAAATGAGAGAACAGTGGATGGGGGCTGGGGATTTAGGGGCCCGGTACCTTGGTGGGGCTGTTCCTGTCCAGAGTGCTGGCCTGGCTGGTGGCAGGCCCCCCGCACGCCAGTGCGTGGTAGCTGGAATTGGAAAAGCACTGGGCATGGCTGCTACTTTGAGACAAATCTGGGAAGAGAACAAGGTGCCATATTCCATCACATACCTCCCCCTGGCATTAGACACCCCCAAAAGTAATGCTTGGGTTGGGCAGACTTGAGAGTGCCCTGCAAAGTGACCAGTTCCCCCTCTCCCAGCTTCCTGGCACCCACTACCCTATGGAAATCTGGAGAGCCTGTTTTGCTGCCTCCCTCATGCCAGCCCTTCTGCAGCATGCAGAATGCAAGTCAGGCTCACCAGTGTGTAGAGGGTGGTACTCAGCTGGAGCCTGTTGAGGAATGTTGGCCCTGATGGCCTCACTTGTCCCTGGGTTGCTATTTAGGATGGGGCCAACCTTTTCCTGCCTACCCCTAGGGTCAGACTCCATACAGAGAATCCCACTCCTCTTGACCCCAGCCCTTCTCTCTTGAGGATTCCATGACCTTTCCATAGAGCTGGGGAATACCAGAGGAACGGTATGAGAAAACCCAGCCAGCCTTACTCATTATGGTCAAAGAAGAAAACACCCAAATCTCTGTGGGTTTGGGCATTCATCAGAGGCTGTTGACATTGGCTGAAGCATGTAGGCTAGGAGCTCTTTGAAGGCAGGGGGCTGCACCTGGGCCACCTGTCTATCCTGAAGCCCCTAGCATTGAGCTGGCAAACAGCAGGTGACACAGTAGGAATGGCTAAAGATCTGGATTCTCTTAAGTACAAAATACGGGAGGCTGGAGGTCTGCCATAAACTGTGGAGGCAGCTGCAGTGAGCTGTCCTGTGCTCACCCAGGCAGGCCCAGCCTCTCCTGACCCAGGGTTATGAGCATGTTTTCAGAGCATTTTGGCTTCTACTGTTAAGCTAAATATGAAGCAAAAAGCCTTATCTCCAAGGCGACAGTCCAGGTTAAGGGGAGAGAGAGAATCTGGCCCAGGATCACCATACATACACCCGACTTGGACTCCCAGGGAGAATGCCCATTGGAGGTGTCACCATATCTGTGAACAGACTGGGCTCTGACGTGCCTGTAAGAGGGACATTGGCCAAACTTTCAGATGTCTCCCAAGTCAGGTGCCACCCTCTTCTACTGGAATAATAGGGCCCTCCTGCCTCAGGGAAGGTTGGCCTGAGGCCATCACCAGGAAAAATGAAATGGACAGAGCCTGGGCACTAGAGCCTAAGGCCTAGCCTCCTGCAAGGCAGAGGCATGGGGCTGGGGAGACATTCTTTTGGAGAGCTTAGGAAAGCTACTGCTTAGTATAGGTACCCCCTGGGTGAAGCTTAGGATGGGGAACCTGTGGGGAAATAGGACCAGGAAATACCAACCGTAGCTGCTCAGAGTTGGGGATCCAGGAAATGACAACGCTTAGAGCTCCATGGACCTTTTCAAGTAGGCTCTCACTTCCCACCCCCATCTGGAGGTGACCACACCCAGACCCAGCCACCAGCCCTGCAGGCACAACCGTCTTCATTAAACCTGGGTGTCTGCAAGGATGCTGTGCAGTTCCTCCTGATTGAAGAGGGAATACCCAGGGCATAGCCCTTACCTGAGAGGGAGTAGTCAGTGCTGGTCATTCTCATGGCAGGTGTGTAGGAGACACGGGGAGCCAGGTCCCGCCCCTTCTCTTTCTGTCGCCGCCTGCGCCAGGCAAACAAGCCCAGCAGTACCACGATGAGGAACAACAGGAGGACAATGCCTGTGACAGCACCCACTGAGTGCCGCTCTGCACCCAGAGCTGGACTGATCTTGGTGTAGGGATTCAGCTCTTCCATCATGAGGGCAGCTGTGGGCAGAGGAAGAGCCTGAGCTGGTCCGGCTTGCTCTTCAGATCTCCCAGACTCCTTTAAGCCCTCTAGTGGTAGAAGACCTGGTACTGGAATTGGTCCTTTTCAATCCCTGTGTGACCCACCCCCCACGGAGCCTCAGTTTCTTCAACCTCCTAAAAGGCAATGGAGTCCAGGGTCATGACAAGGAGCAAATGTAACTCTGGTTGTGAAACAAAATAACGTTTATTGAGTATTTTGTTCTGTCACAAAAATGAGTTAGAGTTACTTAATCTTTGTGGCAGCCCAATAAAAAGGGATTATTCTCATCCCTTTCTACTGATGAAAAATTGAATCACCAGAAGGTGAGGTAACTTGCCCAAGATCACACACCCAGTAATTGGCAGCCAGGAAGAACTGGAGTCAGCTCCTTTCCCTGCTCACCAGCTTTGTGACACAGCTTGCAGTTGGTTCACTCGTGACATAGAGACAATAACCCCACCTTCCCAGGGGAGTTGTGAGCACCCAGTGATAGACTGGCAATGAAAACTGGGAGTGCTGCACCTGTGTGCCTAGATTACTGCTCACAAGGTGCCTCTTGATTATACGTGAGGCTTGCCCCCACTCTGTGCTGATGCTCAGTCTGGGGGACCATCCTGCCACCCAGCAGCATCTAGACCCTTCCTTGGCTGCCGGCTGCTAATGAACAGAGCCGGCCAACATTACCAGGGAGTAAATGTGCTGCATTATTCTCCATGATATATCCCCAGACGACAGTGGAAACATGGCTTCTGACCCCTTTTCTGTAATGCAGGTCATTGAGAGCCCATTCTCCTCCCCCATCTCCTAAACCAACATCCATATAATCCCTCACAGGTTGGTAGCACTTTATAAAAGGTTTTATGTACACACACCCTGTGTGGAGTGCTCACATGTGCTAGGTGTTTTCCTGAGTCCTTTGCTCAGTGTCTCAATTGATCCTGGCAGCTGCACCATAAGGTCACCTGACTGTATAGAGCTGGAGCCAAGGTAGAGCCCCTTGGCCTCCAGAGGAATCTTGTGTCATGGGGCAAGACAAGTCTCTTCCCACTTTGCATGTGGCATAACAGGCCCAGCAAAAACAAATGACCTACCCAAGGACACCTGGCAGGTAATGGCAAAACTAGAACTTGGCAGATATTCTGACTTGGTTGCCTCTCCATAACACTGGCTTGTGGTTACTCTTGCTTGATTCATGTGAAATTTGCCAAGGATGAGCAGGGGGAAATGGAGTCTGCCTACAGGTGTCTGCCTCCACTCTCTTCCCAAATGTTAGTCGAGGGAAGTATCCTTTAAAAATACCAGCTAGTCCAGCTAGAACTCCATGGAGACTCCACAGTGCCCACACACCCTGTCACCTGTGCATTACCTTGGTCACACCTGATTCCTTTGAATCCAGGGCTGCAATAACAGGTGCCAGTGACGTGGTCACAGGTGGCATTGTTCATACACTCACAGAGCTGCTGACACCCATAGCCAAAGGTTCCCGGGGCACATCCTGTGTGGCATGAAAAATGTGGGTAGACAGTGAGATGCAGCCATTCCCCAACCCTCCCATTCCACGGAGGGTTACCTACAGCAACAGGCCAGTTCTGTCTCGTGTGGTGTGAAGCCTTTTTAACCGAGGCTCCCATTGTGTTTTGTTTAGATATTGGAGGTAGACAGAGCACTTATAGCCCAGAATGGTGGGATATGGGGCAGAGGAGAAGAGGGCAGGACCCACTCACCCATACTTCTTCCATGTGCCAGGCCCTGAGCTGGGTGCCACAGGGACTTAAACAAAACAAGAAGATCCTGCCTTTCTCTAGTCCCTTATATACTCCTTATATACACAGCCCTTGCTGTGCCCTCAGTTCCCTCCCCAGGAAACTCTTTAAGCACTAGAGTAGACATAGCCCTTGGTTTTTTCCTTAGGAATTACCCCAAAAACCCGAGCAGGGGGTGCAGAATCTTGAATGAATGGACCTTCAAGGGGGACACTGCCCCTTTAGGAGGCTGAGGCCTGGCACCCAACACCCAGGATCAGGAGTTGGGGCAACTTACTCTGCTCACAGTGCTGCCCAGTGAAGCCTGTGCGGCAGGTGCACTTGCCGCTGATGTGATCACAGCTGGCGCCATTCTGACACTGGCAAACGCGCCCACAATCTTTCCCAAAAAATGCTGCTGGGCAACCTGGAGAAACAAGATCTCTGGTCACAGGAGTTTCTGCAGAGTCAGGACAACTGTGGAGGTGCAGCTGGGACCAGACCTGTCTCAGTCTCCTCTTTCATGGAGCATAGGATAAAGACTAGTGAGACCCTGGACCAGTGCCGTCTCCACACTTTCTACCCTCTTGCTGAAGGGGTAGAAATGGGACTGGGTGGTCCTTCCTTCAAAGGGGTCTTGGAATCAGAGGCCAGACTCAGATCTCTTTGTTGTATGCCATAGGCTGTTCCTCTCCATTGTCCAAGGAGGGCTTGGTCTTTGTGATTGCTGGGGTATCTTAGATCCCTGACCTTCCAGAACTTTGGGCCTGTGAACCCTGAGTCCAATAAGACCCTGGGGCCAGCTTCTTCCCTCCCTCTGTTCAGGCCTGGACTATGCTCACGGTGGCCAGTAGGCTGCAGCATGGGATTGGGAGTGGCTGGGAGGCTGGGAGGCCAGGAGGTGGGGCTTACGCTGTGTGCAGAAGAGTCCGGTCCAGCCCGGAGTGCAGTGGCAGGCCCCATCCTCAGCGCTGCAGCTGGCCCCGTTGTGGCAGCTGCATGTGTGGAAGCAGGCAGAGCCCCAGAACCCAGGTGGGCAAGCTGGGGGGTGGGTGGGATGCAGAGGGTGAGGGCAAGGCAGAGAGGGGCAGATGGAAAGGGAGAGGAAGGGGAGCACATGTCAGAGCCAAGATGCCAGGATAGAGCCATTTCTTGGCTTTCAGGGGCTTGATGCACTGTTCCCAGATTTCCTCAACTCACTTCTTAGCCTAGTCGCCCAGGATTTTCACTGGACCCCGATTCTCTGGCCACTCTCCTAGTCTTCAGTGACTACTGAGCAAGGCTCAGAGGGCTCCTGTACACTCCCTCTCCAGGGGCTGCCTGATTTGGAGCATGTGAATAAATACTGGGGCTTATATGAATATACTGTGTACACTAGCTTTCCCATGAGAGTGGAGATTTTCCCAGGGCAGGGACTGTCTCTCCTTTTAGCTGGTGAGCTGAGGAAGGAGCCCAAGTTGCCTAAAGAGAATGGAATTCCCTCAGGCCACACCATCTTACTGGGACCTCTTATGACTACTGGCTTGGTCTCCCCCATCAGAGGAGGAGCTCCACAGGGCTGGGGCCAGGTCTCTGTCCTTAGATTGGGGGCCCCCTGGAGAGGGGATGCTACCTTTGAATCAGACTAGGTGCACCTTACATGAATGGCCTCTATAAGGCCCTATCCAGGCTTAGGATGCCCAGGACACCACACTGGGCACACAGAAGGCCTGCATTCCTCCCAAGGTGACTGCTTTGGTCTTGCCTACTTCCCAAACTCCAGCATGCCATCCAAACTCAGGGGCTGCTCCTCACACAGGTGCTAATGGAGTATCAATTCTCAAAATTAATAGCATTCATGGTACTGTCAACAATATCTTTAATAACAGGAGTTAAAATATCCTTGGTCAGTCCTGGTGATTTTTCCTGTGGACTAGAGAGCTGAATGGGGATTTTGTTCCTGAGTGGAGGTGCCAGGGCAGAGAGGTTCTTGGCAATGAAGGAAGTTTCAGGGACTGACCCTAGATGGGGGTATTCCCATGGGGAGCAGCTTACCTTGTGAGCAGTCCTTGCCAATCCATCCAGGAAAACACTGGCAGGAGCCATCGATGGGGCTGCAGGTCCCATTGTTGGCACAGGAGCAGAGCTGGGCACAGTCCTGCCCAAAGTGCCCTCCAGCACATACTGTGGGCACAGGGTAGCCTGGCACCTGTCCTGACTCTCATACCCCTAAAGCCACCACCCACAGCTACACCCCCAGAGGGTCCTGGGCCACAGCCACAACCATCCTGGGGACTTGGATCTGGATGGCACCCTTATCACCCTTCTCTGTTTGCATATAAGTGTGTTTCCATCTTCAGAAGGCTCTATTATGATCTTTTTTGATAGGAACAGGCTGAGGCCCACAGAGGTGGAATCACTCGACTTAGGTCTCACAGATAGGAAGTGGTGAGGCTGGGCTTTACTCCTGTGGACTCTCAGTCCAGTGCTCCCTATCCTGTTCCCCAGCCTACAGCTTTGCATCACCACACATGCTCGTATCACCAATCCCCTAGCCACAGGATGAGGATGCTTATAGCTGGAAGGAGAGGGACCAATGCAATGTGGCAGGTCTGTCTGTAGTTTGTCTGCTGGAGGACTGGCCCTGCTGTCTGTCCCTGTCCATCTGTCCTCTAACCTGTTCCTCAAGCCTCAGCCTAGTGTCCTCTGGTCCCCAAAGGCCCTGTTCTCCCCTGCACTCCATGGCATTTCTACTTTGTCACCTATAGAGTTTTGGCCATAGCCCCTTCTGGAGGAGTCACTCCTTGATCTTGGAGGAAGGACAGGTTTCCTCAATCAGACTGTAAGCTCTTTAGGACCAGGTCTAAGTATTAATTGGGTACCTGCCTATCTCTGGTTTCCTGCAGTCCACCCCCTGACCCTACTTCTCAAGCACAACTCTCTTCATGGCCTCCCTATGCTCTGCTCACACAGCTTCAACGGCGCCCCATTGTCCCAGAAAAAAATCTCTGGGGTCTTGGAGTCCAGCACTAACTATCTCACCTGGCTTGTCCTGGATTACTCCCATCTTTCCCACATTGTACTTTTCAAATGCACCTAGGCCTTTCTCTGGATCTTTGCTGAAGCCGTTCCCTTTCCCCTGACCCTTGTGTCCAGCTGTGGACATCCTACCCTGCCTTAGAAGATTCATCTTAAATGTACCTCTTCCATGATTCCTGTGTTACTAGTAGACTGCTAGTTGTTCCTCAATACTAAGTCTCTTCCTTTGAACTAGAATCTTGAGTTTTGGTTGCGCTGTGGCCACCTGGAATAAAGACTTCATTCCTTGGACTCCTGAACAGCTAGGTGTTGCCATGAGACTGTAGTCTGGCCCATGGTAAGCTCTGAAGAATAAAGAACCTGGGACTCTGACATCTCTCTCTGTAAGCTGCCCTAACATTCCCCATTGGCCTGCTTGTAGATCTTTTCATTTTTTAAAAAATACATGAAGGAAATAATGCTTATTATTTTTAAGCCACTTATTTTGGATTTTATGAGGCTTACATCTGAACTCAATCCTAATGGATTCACTCCTCTTCTCTGTTCTGGGTGGCTATGACCTTGTTTCAGTTTCCAGGTAGTTTCTTCCCTAGTCTTCTATGAGACTTGTGAGCCTGTTTCAGGTCAGGCCTGGGCCCCATCCATATCTGTGTTCCCTACAAAGCCTGGAAAGACAGGTGATCACGACACAATGGGCGAATGTATGGAAATAAACTGACCATACCTTTCCCCCCACTTGCCTCCCAAGTCCTGCTGGGAAAGGCTGAGCTCAGAATTTCCTCCTCTGAATTAGGCTTTGAGGGCAGGGAACATGGCTCTGGTGCTTTACTGTATCTGAGTGTCCAGCACAGACCCTGATGTCCAGTACACTCTTAGGAAATGTTCCAAAATGCCCAAAATCATTCTTGGGAGCAGTGATCTTCCAGAGGACCTTACTGGGATTGACCCCTATCCCTTTAAGCTCTTCTCGGTTTAGCATGCTCCTCCCAAAGCCCAGTCCCAGCAGCCTGTCCAAAAAGAGGCTTCCTTGCCTTCCTTGGGAGGGCAGCTCCTGAATCCTGAGGCCCTCAGTTGGCTGAAACACACGGAGAATCAAGGACTTGAAGGCAAGTAGCTTCCTGGGTTAGGTCTCGCAAACCCTGGCCTGGTATTTCCTCCTTCCCACCACACTGCTTTATGTTGCCAGCCCTTCCTCAGTCAGATTGTGAGCATCTGGTGTCAGGGATCTGCATTCCCTCTGCCTCCCCTGGACATGGTTAGTGGTTGGGACACAATGAAGGCAGAATTGGTGGCCAGACTCTCCAGTCCAAAGCCCTGGGTTTGGGTCCTAGTTTTATTCTATGTTCAACAAAAATACATATGGTATTAATATACACCACTGTTCAAAGTGCTTCACAAATATTAGTTCACTTAACCTTGGCATGTTTTCATTATTAGGTATTCTCATCATTCCCATATTATTAACTCCACTTTGCAGATGAGGAAACTTAAGCAACTTTCCCAAGGTCACACAGCTAGGAAGTTCTACTGCTTGTTGATTAAGTACTTTTGAGCAAACCACATCACCCCTCTGGGTCTCCATTTCCTCATCTTTGAAATGGGGATGAGAAGGCTCAGCTGTAGGCAGGCTGGCTGATCCCGGGCCCTGTGCTTCCCCTGGCAAACCCCTGTCCAGGCAGGTCTACTGCCAGAAGGCAGACACACGTCCCACCTGTGTGCAGTTCCACCTCCACCTTCAGCTTCCTTAAGAGCAAGTCACCTAGACTCTTCTTCCCTGTCTCAAGGAGGTGCTCTATTTGGAGAATCTGCATCCAGCCCTGGTTCTTTGGGGTGCCCAAGTAGCTTCACTCCCCTATCCCCCAAACAACTCTGAACTTCTCTAACAAGACAGTCTTTGAAGTCTTTCTCACACGCATATGGCAACATGTTTGCCCACAGAGCTGCTAATGTGACCATCTAATACGTTAATTGGTTGACTTCTTAGTTGAATCAAGAGTAAGGGTGCTGGAGAGAAGGGGGGCTGGTGGAAAGAAAACATCTGGTTATATTTAATCTATGTTTAATGATTCTGCAGAAGCAGTGTCTGTAATTTGTAACTCGCTGGAAAGCCAGTCATTAGAAAGTGTCAGTTCAATTTTTTACAAGGTTTGAGGCTTAACCAGGGCAGTTGCCATTAATAGCAAACTCTATTAGATCTGTATGTGGAAAATACTCATTAGGCCAGTGGGCGATAAATCAGACAATGCAGGATGCGGGAGTTACTCCTCAGCGGGTTAGGTCCTAATTTAGACCAGACCTATCTGTATTGACGGCTGGGTCTTCTGTGCTTAATAAGTAAACCTCAACATGTCAGGTGATGATTGAACTGTCCTAGGAGGGTTGCAAGCAAATGAAACTGTCACATATGTTTCCCTGGGGCCCAAACTTCTCATGACCTCAAAGCATCATGGAGTAAACTTTCCACTCATACATATTAACGGCCCGCAGACTTAAATAGCCCAGCTCAGCAGTGATTATTCATCAAAAGAATGGGTTCCCCTGGGAGGTGGTGAACTCTCAGTCAAGAGAAGTATTTAAACCGAGGCCAGATGAGATTCTTGCCTGGGTGACCTTGAAGTTGCTTTTAGCTCTAAGTTTACATTATCCTAAGATCCTTTAACTCCTTATGGGTTAGAGTGCAAATTCTGCCAGGTGGGGTTCAGGATTGCATTCAGAGCTCTTCTGAAGGCCCCAGCCTACCTTCCCAGCCCCTTTTCCCAGCTGTAGCTTCCACCTCCTTCAGCCATTCCCTACTGCTGGGTGATAGCAGGTCCAGGCCTCTCTTCTTTGCCTAGGCAGTTTCTGCCACCAGGGTGCCTCTCTTCCTTCACAGACTAAAAGCCCAGCTAAGTCCTGCATAGTGCACGGAGCGTCCTCCAGATCCACACTGCCTTTGCCTAAGTCCCAAGCAAGGAATGGTGTGTTCTGGAGCCTAGCGCCTACCTTTTCTCTGGTTGTTCATGTGGAGGAAGTTTGTGAGTGGTGTTAAACCATTGGTACTTTGAAATCAACCATGGTGACACCTGCAAGTGTCACAAAGTGAGGCATTTCCCTACAGATAACTAGTATAGTAGCACAGCAAAGCAAGTAGGCTCTCCACTCCCGTGGAGTGCAGTGGCCCTGGAGTTGATGTTGTGAAGGGTTTTGAGGCTGATAGGAAAGCGTGTGGAGAGGGACTGGCAATGCCCCCCGGCCCCAGCTCACGGGAGAAGGACTGCGGCTTTCCTATCTGCAGCCAATGCCAGAACTGACCCCCGTGCTCTCCCGGAGTCCTCTGCCTTTTACCACTGGGCAATCTGCATCATCAGTCTATGTCTGCGATGGATCTTTTCTATGCTTATTTCATCTTTCATCCCCTTGGTGTGGGTGTTGGAGCCAGAAGTTGTTTCTGTCACTCGCTAGCTGGGAGACCACAGACTAGTCATTTCACCTCTTTAAGCCTGTTCCTTCAAATGCAGGATGACTTTGTCTCATGCCATGCAGTGCTCGGTTATCGGAATTGAGCCCTGAAGAGGGAAGGAGCTGCCATCACAGAATAGGAGCAGAACCCCAAGCCCTCTCTTTTCTGTCTCTTCCCTCCCAGGACCTGCTCCCTGTCCTGTGCCTTCCCCTTAGAGACAGTACCTTGGTTGCAGAGGGCTCCGGAGAATCCTGGGAGGCACTCACAGAGGCCACTGATGTGGTGGCAGGGCCCACTGCTGTGCACGCAGAGGGGACAAGGCTGGGTGCAGCCGTGGCCATAGAATCCAGGGGGGCAGACTAAGGGTGAAGGGAAGACAGTGGTCAGTAGCCCCAGGGGCCTCAGAAAGCTTGGCCACCCCTCCCATCCCATATTATAGTGAAGAGAGGCTCCTCAGAAAGGCAGGAAAGCTGCATCTTCCCCACACCTGGAACGGCCCGTCCCTTCTTGGAGGGAGGAACTGTGGTCTGGTCCTGTTTTTAACCAAGGAGCTAGGCTGGCCCTGAATTGGGGACAGAACAGTCAGTGCAGGGAGAGAGGGGACCAAAGGGAGGGGAAAGAAGGGGATTGACTCCAAGAGCCCAGCCTCCATCAGGTGGTACCAACTGGGTCTCTGGGGCCAGGGTGCAACCTTACTTCTCTGGCATAAGGGTCCTCGGAAGCCAGGCGCGCACTCGCAGCTCCCGTCCTCTGGAGAGCAGGAGCCCCCGTTCTCGCAGCTGCAGGAGACGGAGCAGTTGGGACCCCAGCGACCGGGTGGACATGTGCTGTCACAGCGGATGCCTGTGGGTCAGAGGCAGACTGCAGTCAGTGGTAGAGGGGTGAGGGTAGAGGAAAGAATGGAGGGGTGGACAACGCAGTATGAAGAGGCAGAGGCAAGCACAGTGCTATCGGGGGTGTGGAGAAGAAGCCCAGCAGAGTATAGCTGGTCATGGAGAGCTTCCAGGAAGAGGTGAGGCCCCAACAGACTTCCAAAAGTCTAGGAAGAATTGATCAGGGAGAGGAAACCAGGCTTGCAAAGAGCAGGACAAAGCACCACACCTTGAGAGAACTTACACAGAGCACAAAGTGACTGAACCAGAAAGTTTTAAAGAGGGCATAGCAGGAGATGATGTTGTGAAACTTAAGAAGGGACCAGATGATGAAGAGCTGCCTCCATCTTTGACACCTTAGCTGGCATCAAGAATAGGTCCAAGAGAAACCAGCTCTGGGCAAGTGAGTGCCTTCGTGGGGGCGCTGGGGCTGGAGCTGAGCTACTTGCCCACCAGTGTTAGCCGGTCATTCCTGGGTTCCAGCCAACCAACCCAGGCAGGGGCTCTGGGTGGGTGAGGTCTTTTCATATTCTCTTGACCATAGTCCTCAGTATAGTATATATTTTATAACATATTATATACATACATCTAAAAGAAACCAACTATTTTTTTAAATGCTAGTTGTAACCCAACAAATTGATTTAATGACCTTCATTTGACAAATAGCAGCCTATGGGGGAGTAGATAAAATACCTTAATAGGAAAGAAAGCCCTCTGCAGTTTTTTAAAGCTTAGGTAGAGGAAGTCTGTGCTGCAGTGATTTCAGCCTGAAGGCAAAGATGGAATTTTAAATGCCTGAGGCTGGATGCTCAGCTCTGGGGTGGGGTTTCCTCACTGGCGGGAGGCTTTGGCTGACAGCATTATTGGAAGGGCGGCAGCAGGGCCTAGGGACCACCTGGGCTTTGGAAGGTGAACATCAGAGGCTCCGAGAGGAGCAGAATTAGTTTTAAAACCCTGTCTACCTTGTTAAAAGGATGGGGACTATGAGGAAGAGAATGAAAGCAGGAGAAAGACTCAGACCCAGTGAATGAAGAGTCAGCCCTCACAGCAGCAGGAGAGCAGAGGGACCAATTTGGAAGCACCTGGAATTGTACAGACCCACCTGGCTGCAGGAAGCAGGGGATGTGCAGGCTTTCCTCACCCTCGGTCCAGTGGTCGGTGGTGCTGTCCCTCCCTGGAATGCCTCAGTTTTGAAGCAGTGTGGTGGTGGGTTTAGGGAGAAATGCCACTTTTTGAGAAATGGCAGGGGGCAGCCACATTTGCCATATTTTCCCCATTGATGGTGGTTTCTCTCGTGGAGTTTCAAGTGCCTGAGAGGTGAACCTGCTCAGGCAACTGACTTAGCCCTGGGGAAGGGGAAACCACAAAATTGTTCAATGTTTCGGATACAGATCCAAGTTTCCCCTTCTCTAGGTACAGCCATTCCTCAGTATCCATGAGGGATATCCAAATCCAAGGATGCTCAAGTCCTTTATGTAAAATAGCATAGTATTTGCATATAAGAAAACATGAGAGGCCAGCATGGTGGTACATGCCTATAATCCCAGTGCCTCAGGAGGCTGAGGTAGGAGGGTCACAAGTTCAGAGCCAGCCTCAACAAAAGCAAGGTGCTAAGCAATTTGGTAAAACCTTAACTCTAAATAAAATGCAAAATAGGGCTGGGGATGTGGCTCAGTGGTCAAGTGCTCCTGAGTTTAATCCCCGGTACCCTCCCACCAAAAATAAAGCATACAAAGTGTAAGAAACACACATCTCAAATACTTTCACTCTCTAGATTACTTACAATAACTAATAGGGTGTAAATGCTGTGTAAAGATTGTACCTGTTTGGTACAGATGCAATTTGGTTTTTTAGATATTTTCTGTCTGCCGGTGGTTGAAACTTTGGATGCAGATCCCATGGATCCAGAAGGCTGACTACATGTGGAAAATTGTAATCTGCCCTAAGGAATTCCTTCGCCTGTGCTTGATGAAAACCCTGATCTACGCTGCAGCAGAAGACTTGCCGCCCCTCCGGAGGCATGCTGGGCAGGGGCAGAGTGTGGCCGTCTGATGGGGCCCTGATCCCACCTGTGCTCTCTGCAGCCTGGCCACAGCAGTTGTGTCACACAGATGCTGCCCTTTTCTAAAACCAAATATCGATGGTGATCCTCTAAACAACGTTCACAAAAGTGCCACTGGATTCATGACAGCTTGTTGCTCCTGTGTTTTCCAGTCATTGCTGTTAAAGGTATAGCCACTCCCATGTATGGGATCCTCAGAGTGTTTGTGTTGAGAAAGGGTCCTAGACAGGGACCCACGAGTGTGTGGTGCTGATGCTCCGACTGCAGGTGGCTGCAAGGGCCCGCTGGGCTCCAGGATTTGGCAAGCATTATATTATGGGCCTGGTTCTGGGGGAGTAGGGTTCCTGTTTGAGGTCCTATGTGTCCTAAGAGCTCTCTGGAGCTTAAAATTGGCATTTCAGTGGGAAGAAGGGTCAAAGGGGCCTCCTGTGGGGAGTGCCCAGTACCAGAAGGGACTTACTGGGCAGCTGGATTGCCCAGACCCACTGGAGGGTCTGGCCTTGTCCTTGTGGCAAGCTCCCAGCTACAGCTTCTAAAGAAGCAGCTTCCTCCCCCATAGTTGAGCAGGGGTAATAATCTGTTAGAGATTCTTTTCCTCCTTACTCAAGGGAATCGCATTATTTTAGTTTTCAGGACCCCCCTTCTCTACCCTTCATGGGTAAAGCTGAGGATCCACATGCTGTGATCCCTAGATCATGCCACAGGGCCAGCCGCTCAGCAGCCCACACCCCTTCAGGGCCCTTAGGGCTCTCTTCTAGGAAGTCTTCCTGGATTCTGCCCAGGGATTCAAACTTCTGTTTGATAGAGGCATACAGTTGTCTCTGTTACTTGAAAGTTTGATATACATGAATCCCCTCTCCCTGCCAGCAATCTGAAGATGAGGATGAAAGCTTATTGATATCCTGGCCCTGCTCACAGAGGCACTCCTCAGGGGCAGGGTGCTGCCTCAATCATCTGGTGCCCAGGACAGTGTTGGCACATACTTAGTACTCAGGACTGGGGCTGAATTTTGCCACTGAGCCTGGGTCAGTGCTGGGAGTGAGGCACTGCCAGGTAAAGTCTTGGTAATTGCTTGAGTCAATAACTGCTAGTTGAATGAGTTAAAGGCTCTCCCACGGAATGGCATCCTGGGTCTCCCGTCTTGTTGGCACCCCTGTCATGAGACCCAGATGTTTCCTCAACTGTAGCTGAAGAAGGCTGCAGCAGACAATCTTTAAAATCTCTTCCATTTCCAGGGGAGAAAACATATATGGCCACAAGCCAACTACTCTCAGGTCTGTTTCAGTGAGCATTCAGTGAGTGCCTATTATGGGGAGGGTGGAGTGAACGCCAGCCAGTCACTGAGAGCTGTGGCTTATGGAGGAAGGAGACACACCTCAGGGCAGACCAGACCCTGTGCTGAGTGACAAGCCAATGGCTGGGAAGGAAACTCTGACTTTTCTTGAGTTAGGGGTGGGTGGGACAGGCTCCCTGAGTGGGGGGGAGGCCCAAGCCTGGACCCGCTCCCCATCCCTTCCTCTCCTTGGCCTCCTTATGCATGACAAACCTCAGGACATCAATCGCTTCTTTGAAAAGATGTCAGGACCACCTTTGGGGAAATGAGCTTTAGAACAGCAGAGGCCTCGCAGAAAGGTTGTCCATCAAAGACAGAATTTTTAAGCACCAGATGTCATTAAAATCTGATCAGCTCACTTGAAATTAAGGCAATGAAAAATTAAAGTGGATTACCATTTGGCTCTCGCTCAGAGAGTGACCAGGCTGGAGCCTCCCCATATATTGAGGGGCAGCAGTCAAGAGGGCAGGGGAGCCAGGTGGGGGAGGCTGCAGAGGCCTGTTTGGGGCCCTTGGAAGCTTTCTGGTTGTGGAGAACAGAAGCTGGGCAGCAACCGGAGGTGAATTATTTACATGAGAACTTACACTGCCAGAAGCAACTGGATTCTTTCTCTTTGCTGCTGCCCACCTTGGGACCGGCTGGTGGGTCCATTCACACACTGTGCTGTTACTGAGCACTTCCTGTGCTGTGGCCCACTTTACCAAGCACTTCTTATGTGCCAGGCACTCCTAGCGCTCTGTGGCACCAACTCACTTAAACTTCAGATGACCCTGTGGTTAGCTGTGAAGACTATAATTTTCTGCATTTTATGGATGGAGAATTCAGGCCCTGAAAGGTTAGGACCCATCCAAGGTCATGAATCCAGGCAGTCTGGCTCAAGTTCTGTCCTGAACCATCTTATTATCCCCATCTCAGTGAGCAGCAACGCTGGATGTGGTGGGAATGAGGCAGATCCTTCCCAAAGCCCATGGTCAAGTTAGGCAGGCCAGTAACAAAACACTCAGCTCAGTGTTCAAGGACAATGTGGCACTGCCACAGAAGGAAAGGGGTAGGTTATCAGAATAGGCAAGTGGGGGCTCTTGGGACATGGCCAGGTAGTGCACAGGCCTTGTTCCAGAGGAGCCGTTCCAGAGGAAGTAGCCTTTAACTTGAAACCTGGCACGCCGAAGGGGTCCTCAGGGCTGGGGATGCAGCTCAGTGGCAGAGCACTCACCCAGCATGCACAGGGTCCTGGTTCCATCAACAAGAAAAGAAAATAGGATCCTATCAGGTAAGGAGAAGGGGAAGAAGTGATCCAGACCAACAGAAAGAAGGTACAAAGGCCAGGCATCAAGATGGTGGTTGGTTCCTGAAGAAGTACCCCTGTGCTCTGGTGGCTGGGATCAGTGAGTGACACAGAGGGCCATATCATAGTGCCATGGTAGGATCCTGCGTTTTAGGTAGGAGTCACAGGAAGACATCAAGGCATTGAGAGCTTGTTGTGAACACATCTGAGTTTTGAAAGGCTCATCCTCCAAGCGCAGCTGGGCAAGAAGGGGTCCTTGTGACCAAGCGGGGGAACACGCATGCCAGAGGAGAGCAGGGATCAGGGAACCACTCAGGGGCCTCAGGGTGGAGGGAAGCAGATGGGTTCACCTTGTGCTTAGGATGGGCTCAGGAATCAGGATTCTGGGGTGGGGCTCCAGAGAGTCCCTTGTCCCCTCTCCACCATATTCTCTACAAATTGAGCACCTACACCCAAGTCTGTCTGTCTGGTTTTGTGTGTGTGTGTGTGTGCGCGCGTGCTAGCTTAACAGAATCTGTACATCATGGGTGTCAAAAAATGTTTGCTCACTTGAACAGAACACAAAACTGGAGCCCAGAGCAGAAAATGGGGATGGTGCACATTCAAGAAACAAGAAGAATGGAATTGGAGGAGAAAAAGAACAGTTAGAGAATATAAGAGCCCAGCTTCTCAGGACCTGGGTAGTGGCAAGGCAGAGGGGTTACCTGTCCATCCAGCCAGGCAGCAGCAGTGGCCTGTGACTGGATCACAGCCATCAGCATGGCTGCAGTCACAGCGTTCACTGCAGTTCAGCCCGAATGTGCCATCCTGTGAGAAGAGGGGGACAAGGAAATAGTCAGACTTTGACTCTTAGAAGTGCACACATTTCTATTGGCTCTGGATGACAGGACAAAGCCATAACCTCACAGGGATACAGACATGGAAACTGGGGCACAGTGGGGGTGCTTTTTGTAATCAGGGCCACAAAGTCACTCCCAAGAATTACTGGTTGCATTAATAGGTGAATGAGGTTTGGAGAGGGGGAGTTGATGGTCCTGCCCCATTTTTCAATGATTAGGCTCAGAAGGTTGTAATGGTTATTAACTAAAATTGTAACTGAAAGGGCACTTTGCTAAATGGGACACATTGATCACATGTGAGAAACAGCCATGATTTATTCTTTGTTCATGGGGGAAAATATGGTAACCATTTTAGTAAGAGCCTAATATACCTCATTTCTCTTAATCTTCACAATACTATGAGATGCTTCTATTATATTCCCACTTTAAAGATGGGAAACTGGGTTGGGGAGAGGAAGTAACACACTCAAGGTAATAGTGTGTGACAAAGGCAGGATTTGAACCCAGGACCTCAAAGCCCACTCTCATTCAATTTCACATCAGTTGGTTTAACAGGCTAAGATCTAGGGATTAAGTGTGGGTAGTTACTGTTGGGTTGTGCTTGGTTTAGTACCAACCCTGACCATGAAAGTCATGATTGTTGGAACCTGAGGAATTATAGCTCCCTGTCCTGCTCCTGCTGGGGACGAATCTGCAGCTGCTTTTGAGTTGGGTCAGAGGGCCAGCCCTAGATGCTGCTGACCCAGATGCCTCTGGATAGACAGCAGGCCCAAGGCCCAAGGCAGGACAGTGGCCACGGAGAGCTCAGGCCTGTGACCTGAATTCAGTGTCCTCACCAAGCCCAGTGCGTTTCTCTGTGCATTCCTGTGGGGAAAGTGGCCGAGGTCCACCCTGGCACTCACAGGGCAGGGCAGCTCGCAGGTGTCCCCCAGCCAGCCCGGGGTGCAGGTGCAGGAGCCGTCGGAGGGGCTGCAGGCCGCCCCGTGGGCACAGGCGCAGCTCTCATTGCAGTTCAAGCCCCAGGTCCCGCTGGGACACGGCAGGGTGCAGTCCACACCCTGCCACCCTGTGGGAAGGGAGAGGACAGTCACTTCTCCCACCCAGCACAGCTTTCTGCCCACCCCGCCAGCTCTGTTATGCCGCGTCCCCTCGACCTTCTGCCCCAGCACAGCTGCTCAGGGAGAGAGTCCCGCCGCCCCAGATACCCCTGCGCTGGCTGGCCTTGATTGCTTTTGTCACAGGCAGAAAGTAGAAGGTCCCACAGGGGACAGGGAACCAGCGCAGGTGGGAAGTGTTTCCCTCCCAGGGTGGAGCTGCAGACTACCCCCAAGCCCCCTAGGGGCAGGACAGGCCAACTCCCTGCTCTTTTTGGGGGGTGGGGTGGGGGGTGTTCTGAGGACTGGACCCAGGGCGCTTAACCACTGAGCCACATCCCCAGTCCTTTTTATTTTTAACTTTGAGCCAGAGTCTTGCTAAGTTGCTTAGGGCCTTGCTAAATTGCTGAGGCTGGCTTTGAACTTGTGATCCTCCTGCCTTAGCCTCCTGAGCTGCTGGGATTACAGGGGAACACCATCCTGCCCCTCTCAATTCCTCATTCTGAGGCTAGTCGCTGGCTTCTGCCCTCAGGTTGACTTCTCCCCTTCCCTCCTTTGTTCTGTGGCACAGGGTGGGAGGACCCCGCAGCTGGCTCCCAGTGGGCTGGTCAAGGGCGATCTGGCCCACAGACTAGGGGGAGGAGCAGGAGAGAAGCCAGCTGTGACCTCTTCCTTTTCCTGCCAGGGCTTTGGCAGTGGCCAGGCTCCCTCTGTCCATGTCCCAGTTCCTACCAGGTAAGCCTCATGCCTAGGTCTGGGACTCCTTTTGTCCCTCCAATCTCAGGAGTGGCGCAGCTTCTACAGGTGCTCGGTCATGGCCCACCACTCTGTGTGTTCTTCAAGGACCCTGACACCCTTGAGAAGAACTCCTTTATGACATTCCTGCTATTGACGTCCCTGGATGGAGTGTGAACTGGGCTCTGGCCCTGCATGGGCTTGGGTGGGCGGGAGCAGCCCCTCCTGACCCTCAGTCACCAGCGGGCTCGGGAGAGAGGGCGTTACCTTCCCTGCAGGTACAGGAACCGTCTACCGGGGAGCAGGTGCCACCATTGTTACAGCTACAGACGGATGAGCAGTTGGGGCCGTAGGTCCCTGCTGCACAGGGAACTGCACACACCTCTCCCTGGAAAGAGAGTGAGTTTTGCTCAGGGGTCTCCCTGTGCTGGGTGGCTGCGGTAGGCAGGGCGATGTGCCACCCTGCAGAGGCCCCGATCCCTGGAACCTGTAAATGTGCCACTTTACAAGGAAAAAGGGACTTTGCAGACGTGACTCAGAACCTTGAGATGGGGACAGCAGCTAGGAGTGTTCAGGTGAGCTCATGAGTCTTTAAAGATAGAAGAGAACTGGAGGAGGCAGGGCTGAGAGAGGGCTGGCCAGGGGTCCGCCACAGCCGGCCTTCACTTTGAAGATGGAGGAAGAGGCACAGGGCCAGATGCAGCAGCCTCTAGAAACTACGATCAATCTTTTTACAGCAGCAGGAACCGGGTACCTCGATCCTACAACCACAGGAACGGATTCTGTCAACAACCTGAAAAAGCAGGAACCAGATTCTTCCCCTCAACTCTCCGGAAAGGAGCCGGCCTGCCAAGGCCTTGATCTCAGCCTGAGGAGACCCACAGACTCTGGCCCAAGAACTGTAGGATGAGAAACTTTGTATTGTCTTAAAACACTACAGTTGTGGCAATTTGTTACCCCAACAATAAAAAATGAATACAGTGACCCTTAGAGGTTGGGGTGGGGTCCAGCCTCCAGACCAGGGCTCCAGGGTTGGCAAAGGCCCAGGGAGCGTGGCCCCACTAGTCTGTATTAGGTCACATCAGCACAGGACTTAATCTTTCCCAATCTTATTTGATTCTTTTCAACAACACTGTGACACAAATAGTATCCTGTTGCCTTTTGCCTGAACCTCAGAGAAGCCAGGGGTAAATGATCATGATTCCTGGGTACTAACCACATTTCCAGTATCATGCACCACGCATATGTCACCTCACTCAGTTCTTTATATGGAGAAGTTGTCTAACTGTCCAGGCCACAGAGCTGGAATGGCTGACCTCCTTCCAACCTGGGAACCATCGTTACTGGGTGACATAAACCGGTTTTCCTGGCAGGCATTCTTGGAGATGGGATTAGTGAGCTCGTGAGAAGAAGCCTTACCTCTGTAAGGGAAGAAGGACTGAGTGGAGAGGCTGACCGGAGGCGAAAAAGTCCTCTGCTGACCTTGCAGGAAGACCCCTCAGAGTCGACCTCAGTCCCTTTATAGATGCCTCAGTCCCAGCATCTATAAAAGGGGAAGGAAGGAGAGCCCTCGTTCTCATCAGTGATTGGCTGATGTGGTCCTGGCCACAGGGACGGGATTCCCCAGGTGAGATGGACGCCTGTGAGGGCAACTTCTAGAAAGAGCCTCAGCTGGGAGCCCAGCTTTCCAGGCCCTGGGAAGTGAGGCCTGGGTGGGAAGGGCGGATCCGTTGCCCCAGGGACAGTGTGTGCTGTTGGCCCTGAGAAGAGATCAGGGCCAGTTGCTGGGGAGGAGAGGAGTGCAGGAATGGGGACCTCAAGCCTTGAGGACTGGGAGCATGCTGTGAGGGGCAGAGGCTGTCCAGATGGGGAGAGCGTCAGGGACAAGAGTATAGCGGACCATGAGACTGGAGCCCTTGAAGGGTGGCTGAAGGGAGGGGTTTGTGTGGGGAGGTGTGAAGGAGGTATTTTAAAGGGAGGCTGGGGACCTAGAATGGCAGAAAATGGAGTTTGGCTTTTCTTCCTTGAGTTCCCCCAGGACATGCCTTCCCACCTTGGGAAACTGGGGCTGTCTGCTCTGGGGCCTGTTGAATTCTCATTTCCCCTTAGATGGCTCCAGCAGGTTCTCAGGACTCATGCCTTAGCTTATTGAGAAACAGCACATCTTGGGCCAGAAGACCAGAGCTTATCTGGGCTCCACTGGCTGTGTGATACTAATTAGGTTACTGCCCATCTCTGAGTCTCGGTCCCAGCATCTGTAAAATGGCAGCCCTGGAGTAAAGGAGCTCACTCTCAACTCTGAGGGTCCAATACCTGGCTTCACCTTCACTTAGGCCACAGAGAGACCAGAGGCTATGGACCTTTGGCCAAGGGGACATTCCTGGTCAGCCCTCTCTACTCTGTCGCACAAGCACAGGCGACGTCAGGAGGAGGCACTAGGAGTGCCAGGCCTGCACCATAGGCCCTACCGCCCCACTCTTCTCCTGCCCAGTCTTGGAAGGCTTGACCAGTGGAGTCTGTCAGCTTCCCCATTACCCTGAAAACTCACTTCCCCAAGACTAGAAATGGCCCACAAAGACACACTCAAGCTCCTAGGACCTGGGCCTGGGCGTAAAACTCAGGCACGGTGTCCACCTTTCTCTTCGAGGCCTAGCCTCCTCTCTAGTCCTTGACCCTGATCCTCCTGGAGGCCTCCAGTCCCCTGTGGGCCCAGTTAGGGTCTGGGGATGGGGTCAAGAAGTTTGAGCTGCCTGCCACCCAGAGCTGTGTCGGGGCACTACTTCCTCCCAGGGAAGCCCTAGGAGGCCACCGGCTGGGAGGCTCTCTGCTTCCAGAACAGAAAGAAGAGACTTAGAGGGGACAGTGACTTACCCAGGGTCCCACAACCAGTGCAGTGATGTGCAGAGGGAGAAGCGGCTCTGCATTCCAGAGAGGAGCAGGGCCAAGCGAGCAGGTGGCCTCTCCCAACCTGCTGCCACCTTGCGGACACGCACTGGACCTCGCTCCCCACATTGTGAAGTAGGACTAATGACCCTATGCACCGGACTGTTCAGAGGGTTAAATCAGTTTCTATTTGTGGAGCAGGTAGATCAATGGGTTGGGTAGAAAGCACTATAAGAACTTATGTGTAGCTGGATGCAGTGGCACATGCCAAAGATCCTACTGGGAGGCTGAGGCAGGAGGATCTCAAGTTCGAGACCAGTCTAGACAACTAAGGAAGACTCTCAGAACAATAAAAACAGGAAGGGCTGGGGACGCAGCTCAGAGATAGAGTGCTCCCGGTTACCAGATTCCCAGTACCAGAATAGAATAAGAGAGCCGAGTGTGTCCTGGCATCTCTTATTAAAAGAACCTTGGAGGTCTAGGCAGGAGGCAGCTCTGGAGGACAGAGCCATTCCTCCAGCAGCAAAGGTGGGGTCCTGTGCAGGAGCGGGGGAGATGCTCCAGGGGGCAGGAATCCGACTCCAGGGTCAGTTTTCCCACCCATCTCCCCTGGGGGCTGGCTCCCTGTTCCTGTCCTCACACATGAGTGGCAACTTTGCCCACTGCACACCAAGGCCCGGTTGTGGGGGACGGGGCAACTACTCCCCCAGGAGCCACACTTGTGAGTTCCCACAGCACAAAGTCCAAGTGGGAAAACGGATAAGTCCTAAAGCGGAGCCAGATACAGCCAGCTTCCTGAATTCCCCTCACCCACCCGGGGCCTAGTGTGGCCGCCTGCCTCACTCCAACACCTCAACAAGCACAGGAACCCTGGGCTACACTGGTTCAAACCACACCCCCCCACACACACACACCTTCTAGCCTCTGACCTGAGGGCAGGGTGGCTCTAGAGCTGATTAGCAGGGTATCTGAGGACTGACCTTCCAGCAAGCCAATTACATGGTCCCTCAGGGTGGCCTGTCAGTCCTGCCCACCCCAGAGCTCCCCCCACCTATCCTCTGGTGTGGCCTCCTTGGCTGTGGGGACCACTAACTGGCCTTAATCCTGATGATCTATGTAAAGTCCGAGTCTGAGAGGCTGATGTCAGGATAAACGTAAAGACTGGCCTTGAATTTGCCATCCTCCTGCCTCAGCCTCCCAAATGTGGGAATTTATGTCCAAGCGTGCTTGGGTGGCCAGTGCACACAGTGTGTTTCTGTGCTGTCTCCGGCGTGTCTGTTTTTCCATTTGTATAGATTCAGGAACAAATTTGTGCCTCCTCATGCTTTCCCCATCGGTTCTTCCCGGGTACTCTCCCCTCCCCTCGGGCCCTGTCCTGGTGGGAATGAGAAACACCAGCAGCCACCATCCTAGCACCCTGGGGGGTCCTGTGGCTCATATTCCTGCCTCCATCAGGGGAGATGGATCTGGTTTTCACGCCTAGACTCTGGGCTCCGGACAGACGCTGCTGGTGCATAATGGACCCTCAATAAATGTTTAATTGAAATGAGTAGTTGCGTACACATTGCCTTCTGCAGTGGACAGAACCTGAAGGACCGGCACTTTCCATATCTTCTCTCTCATGCCAGCCAATTCAGCAAGCGTGTGCTGAGTGCGACCAGTACTGAGCCAGCCTGTGACAGGCTCCAGGGGCACAAAGGGGCCCTGGGCCCAGATTCCATCCTTGAGCAACGTGTTTGGTCACTTGTTTACTCTCTACCCCTCCAATGAGACTAGAAGCTCTGGAAGAACTGGGACCTTATCTGTTGGGGTTGCCCAGCATCCCTAGCTGAGTTCCAGCCACAGGGTACAGGAATTACGGAAGTGTGTTGAACAAACGAGCAAGGCCCTGGTAGGCTGGGCTGGTGACTCCTGCTGCACATAGGAAGTACTGAATGGTCTGAGGATGAGTCCCTTGCTGCCACACTGACTCTGAGTCTCCCTGGCTCTCTTGTGAAAAGGGAAAGCCAGGCCAGATCCCCATGTGTGGCTCCATGCCCTGCCCAGCACCCCTGCCAGCTCGCCTAGCCAGGAGGAGGCTGAGAAGCTCATCGTTATCCTGTCAGCTTCTAGAGCTTCTGCTCACGGAGACTCTGAGCTGAACAGGACCTGAGGGATGATGGCACCCACCCAGAGCCACAGGGCAGAGATGGATGTAGGAGCCACTGCTCCCAGGGAAGCGGAGTGCAGTGCCTGCCCCAAACCCGCCCTGTGTTCATGTCTGTCCACCTCTTCACACTCTGGGGAAAAGGACCCAATGAGAGCCAGGGTTGTGAGCTCAGTCAGCGGAGAAGGCCTTTGGCACCTCATGTTCTGCATGTCCCAGACCCTCTGCCCACCCCCCCAAGCCAGGCCTGGCCCCTACGGCCCTTCTTTGAGGCTATTCCCCAAGATCACCGCCATCCAGGATTCCCACACATCTTTCTGGAAGGCAGGCTTCTCTCCTGATGGACACGTGATAGTTCCAGGGAATACACAAGCTTTGCTTTCTATGCCAATCATCTGTGGCATTGAAGTCAACCAATGTCCCCAACTTTTCACTATCCAGGACCCTTTTATAATCCTCTGCCTGCAAAACCTCTCAATTTGAAAGACACTTCTGTCACTCTGTGCCGGTGTCCAAGGCCAGTCCAGATTTGGACAGGTACGATTTGGTCAGTGACCATGACCTAGAGATTCCTATGATGTCACCTATATCCAAGAAGAGCTTCTGATCAGCTCACATTAACCTGGGCTATCATATAGAGATAATTTCATTCTAATTAAGAGCAGAAGAAAATCTTTAGTGTTTATCAGCCTCATTGTGGGGAATGTAGGATTTCTGGCTGAAAGTTCAAAACTGCTCCTGGCAACCTGTGGCAGCCTTTGCCAGTGTCTGGCTCTAAGGCCCCGTAGCTGTCCCCAGGAGCATCCTCCTGCCTGGAGTGGGATCTTTGCCCAAAGGAGTGAGGAATGGTGAGTCGTAGGCCTAGGGACGACCCCTCCTGGGCCTCTAAGAATGATACCATCTGGGTAGTCACCTACTCTGCTAGTGCCCAGCCTGGACCTGGTCACACCTGTCC